TCATTTTCACGCATGCGTGAAGGATCTTGGACTCTTACGTTCACTCGTCACACGGCAGCTGCAAGGTCTCCGTCAGCACAGGAAACAGAATTGATTAGTTCAGGACTCATAACTGTGGGTCTCTGGGTTTGAGTCGTTCATTTGTCACGTGACAGCTCGGCTACTGTGGAGCGGGAATGAACTAATCGTTCAGCGCTCACAGGGGTCCTCCTCGGAGTCTGTCTTCACTCGGCAGGCTGAGTAACTGCCAGCGCCGGGACTGACATTATATATCTATTTTGTTAATTCTGTGACATTTAATGAAGCATAATGTGATTACAGCGCAGTGATGTCGTGCTAAGTTATAGTTTGAACACAGCCGCACCGTAACTTTAGTCCTGCTAGCGTTTACAGCCAACAGCTGATGAGAGTTGTTCTGGGTCCACTTCAGAACCCTGACAGGGTTCTACCGGGAGCCGAATTACCTCAGAGGTCATCTCCTCTCCAAAACAAACCCGGTCATTAAAACGTTAAAACACAGCCGCATAGCAGCGTTAGCGTTAGCCCTGTGGTGTGTTTACAGCTAACAGCTGATCCGGTAACGTAACTTCTCCTTTTTATTTATCAGCAGAGCCGTGCTGTTGTTTCACCGCTCCTCACTGGTGAACAACCTGCAGTGTTTGAGATTATTATTAAACTGGTTCAATTTTATTAAGCTTATTACTTCAATATATTCCCTGTAAATCTGATGTTAATATATAGATGGTACTCATGGATAGGCGTTAGGCTGCTGTATGAATGAGCACTTTAGAGATATAATGACAGTAATTATAATTATATATATATATATGGCTGGTCTGGTAGTATACTCAGGAAAGACTGTGTTGTTGGGCTTCTGTAAATAACATCATAGAGTACGGTCTAGACCTGCTCTTTTATGAAAAGCGCTGTGAGATAACTGTTGTTGTGATTTGGCGCTATATAAATAAAATTGAATTGCATTGAAAAATTTAATTGAAAATGGACGGATTTAGCCGGAGGAGTGGCTTAATTGAATATTGACAACATATTTCTGTGGTTTTTTGATGGTTTGAATTTGGTTGTGGCTCCTTTATAGAACCATCATAGAGAAAGATCAAGAGGTGAATTTGTGAATTATACTTTGTCAGTTAAATGTTACCAGGCAGCCTTCAGTGTTTCAGAACTGTGCTGTTTTTAAATCGCCCACTAGAGGGCTGCAGCGCCACAATAACCAGCCTAGTTCAAATGAACCAAATGACTTAAGAAAAAGATTAGTTCATTTTAATGAACGAGATTTTCAAAAGAGTGACTTTTCCCCATCACTAGAGTGCACTAAGGCAGGACCAAACCATTTCATGCAAAATCTCAAAACTTTTTGGTCAATGGGGATTTTTAACTTTTTACTGCCAAAAACAAGAAATAAAAAATTCAACAACAGATTCATTCCTTTTATTATTATATTTGAAATATATTTATACTCAATGATGATGGTTTATCTAATGTATAATATAATATAATTTCATTTTTCGTTTTTTTTTGTGGACAAGGCACATCAGTTTCTTCTATATTTACATTGCATTTCATGCTTTTCTATTGTGCAAGTAAACCTTTTTCAAAGAATTTTTATTTGTTATTTGTTTCAAAAAGTGGTGGGGACATGTCCCCAGTGTAAATGAAATCTATGTCGAGGAGTATACAGTGTGAGAGTGAGGGCCCCTCAGGCCCCTGGCCTCCCACAATACTGAGTCGGAAGATTCTAATTCTGGTTATCTGCCGAAATCCAGCACTGCCTTCTTCCTCGCATCTGGGGTGAAGTTCAGGTCCCCCCCGAGCACCATGAAGCCCTGCACACACAACACAGGTGGGTAGTATCTGTGTAGTAACAGGTAGTATCTGAGAGTGGCTACAGCAGATTCCAGGTAAAACGTCAGAGGTCTCTGTCCAGAAGAGTACAGTCCTAGGAACAGCTAAGATACTGCGCAGAACCCTCAAACTCCCAGGCCTCTGGTAGAGGACCCGAGCTTGAAGACACAATCGCTGAGAGGAGGATTTACATATATATATATGTATATATGTATTTCACAGTATTTCATGCAGTACAGTGTATTTTTCTGTATAGTCAGACTCACATCCTGGTAGTCGATCTGTCCCTGAGAGAAGCCCATTCTTTCAGGCAGAGGCATCAGTACTCCTTTATCAAAGTAGCCTGCACACACACACACACACACACATCAAATGTAGACAGTAAAGTGAATCAGTCTCCTTTAAGTCAATTTAAACTAGTGCAGGGCCCGTTCACAGGGGCCGAGGCGAGGCCTCCCTGTTCTGCAGATCGTGCAGGGCCCGTTCAAAGTGTGCGTCTCACATTGGTTCCACCTGCAGCAGTGGTTCTCGCCCCACATGTCTGTTATCCAGGTCTCTTCCTGCCCCCCCATCAAAACAGATGTCGGCTATTTTCCCTGAATATTGTTGGTTGTCGTTATTGACAAGACACAGTGAATGACAACAGATTGATTAATTTGAACAATTAATGGTAACAAAAAGCCATGTGAATGTTCCTCTCAGAACCTGTGTGTGTTTTCCTGGCTGGGGCTCTTAATACCTGAGGGGTCTACTGCTCCTGCCCCAGAAGCTTTTGGCCATTAAAGACTAAATTTCCGGCATTCTTGTGGAAATTTCTGCTCAAATTAATGGTGGAACGGTTTTATTTTTATAAAGGTGTCAGGTGACAATTCTAAATATATAGTAGAACATAAAGCAGAGAGGCTCTCAGGTATCTGTATTACTCCTGTAGATCAACTTCTTTAATATCTGCTGAGTCATGGCTCAGTCTTCCCTACTCTTTGTGTCTTTGTTTGGGGAAGTGACCTCTTTAAATGTTTTTAATCCCTGGACTGTAATAGGCTAGCTCCTGTGTTTCAGCAGCTTTCCTGCTCATGTTCATGTGTTTAAACAGGATAGAACAGTAGAATACGGGGGAGTCCTGGAGAAACAGGGGGGTTGACAGGTAAGCACTGGCTTTGTCACCCTTTTACCAAAGATGATGAGATGAGGATCTGTTGTAATAACACTGTTAATTAATAAATTATTTAGTTGATAAGACTAAAACAGTGGCTGAAATCCTGCTAGATATTCAGCGCTTCCCTACAACTTCAAAAAACTCGGTTTCAACATATTTGTTTCTATGTCAAACCTGCGACATGACGATTACTCAGTTTCAACAATTCACTATCACATATAGCATATAAGCGCCGCCCTCGCTGTTGCAGAGCGGAGTGGTGTAAGCCCCGCCCACCTGCACGAGCCTCCCAACTCTGAGCTGTTCTCTAGTATATTTATTCATTCTGAACGTTGACGCGCGACGCTGCACTTTACAGCAACACAGCCGCCACGTGGTCGCTCGATTGCAGGAACGCTTCTCGACATAATGGAAACAGACGGAGGTTCCTGCCTTTATTAGATAGAGGACTGCAGTGACCCTTGAAGTCACTAAAGTGGGACCATTGAGCCCTGCCTTGTTTTTCTACATTTCCTAGCAACAGATTCACTGAAGTCTTTACCTGCTGAGAAGTTTCTAAAGATTTAAAGCTGTGGCAAAACTTTGTAACTGACTGTCCCGATACTGGGGACGTAATCGATGTTTATTCGAGCTGTTTTCTGTCCAAAAACCACGGTCCTTTGTGTCAACAGAGACCGTCTGGCGGGCTGCCATCTTGGTGAGGTCGGCTTCGCAGCTAAGTGAAGTGAGATGTTTTAGTGAGGTGTTTTAGAAGTGAGGTGTTTTAGTGAGGTGTTTTAGAAGTGAGGTGTTTTAGAAGTGAGGTGTTTTAGTGTGGTGTTTTAGTGAGGTGTTTTAGAAGTGAGGTGTTTTTATAGTGAGGTGTTTTAGAAGTGTGGTGTTTTAGTGAGGTGTTTTAATAGTGTGGTGTTTTAGAAGTGAGGTGTTTTAGAAGTGAGGTGTTTTAGTGAGGTGTTTTAGAAGTGAGGTGTTTTAGTGAGGTGTTTTAGAAGTGAGGTGTTTTAGAAGTGAGGTGTTTTAGTGAGGTGTTTTAGAAGTGAGGTGTTTTAGTGAGGTGTTTTAGAAGTGAGGTGTTTTAGAAGTGAGGTGTTTTAGAAGTGAGGTTTTTTAGTGAGGTGTTTTAGAAGTGAGGTGTTTTAGAAGTGAGGTGTTTCAGTGAGGTGTTTTAATAGTGAGGTGTTTTAGTAGTGAGGTGTTTTAGTGAGGTGTTTTAGAAGTGAGGTGTTTTAGTGAGGTGTTTTAGAAGTGTGATGTTTTAGTGAGGTGTTTTAGAAGTGAGGTGTTTTAATAGTGAGGTGTTTTAGAAGTGTGGTGTTTTAGTGAGGTGTTTTAATAGTGTGGTGTTTTAGAAGTGTGGTGTTTTAGAAGTGAGGTGTTTTAGAAGTGAGGTGTTTTAGTGAGGTGTTTTAGAAGTGTGATGTTTTAGAAGTGTGGTGTTTTAGAAGTGAGGTGGTTTAATAGTGAGGTGTTTTAGAAGTGTGGTGTTTTAGTGAGGTGTTTTAATAGTGTGGTGTTTTAGAAGTGTGGTGTTTTAGAAGTGAGGTGTTTTAGAAGTGAGGTGTTTTAGTGAGGTGTTTTAATAGTGAGGTGTTTTAGAAGTGAGGTGTTTTAGTGAGGTGTTTTAATAGTGAGGTGTTTTAGAAGTGAGGTGTTTTAATAGTGAGGTGTTTTAGAAGTGAGGTGTTTTAATAGTGAGGTGTTTTAGAAGTGTGGTGTTTTAGAAGTGAAGTGTTTTAGTGAGGTGTTTTAGAAGTGAGGTGTTTTAGAAGTGAGGTGTTTTAGAAGTGAGGTGTTTTAGTGAGGTGTTTTAGAAGTGAGGTGTTTCAGTGAGGTGTTTTAATAGTGAGGTGTTTTAGTAGTGAGGTGTTTTAGTAGTGAGGTGTTTTAGTGAGGTGTTTTAGAAGTGAGGTGTTTAAGTGAGGTGTTTTAGAAGTGAGGTGTTTTAGAAGTGAGGTGTTTTAGTGAGGTGTTTTAGAAGTGAGGTGTTTCAGTGAGGTGTTTTAATAGTGAGGTGTTTTAGTAGTGAGGTGTTTTAGTAGTGAGGTGTTTTAGTGAGGTGTTTTAGAAGTGAGGTGTTTAAGTGAGGTGTTTTAGAAGTGAGGTGTTTTAGAAGTGAGGTGTTTTAGTGAGGTGTCTTAGAAGTGAGATGTTTTAGAAGTGTGGTGTTTTAGTGAGGTGTTTTAATAGTGAGGTGTTTTAGTGAGGTGTTTTAGAAGTGAGGTGTTTTAGAAGTGTGGTGTTTTAGAAGTGAGGTGTTTTAGAAGTGCGGTGTTTTAGAAGTGGGGTGTTTTAGAAGTGTGGTGTTTTAGTGAGGTGTTTTAGAAGTGAGGTGTTTTAGAAGTGAGGTGTTTTAGAAGTGAGGTGTTTTAGTGAGGTGTTTTAGAAGTGAGGTGTTTTAAAAGTGAGGTGTTTTAGTGAGGTGTTTTAGAAGTGAGGTGTTTTAGTGAGGTGTTTTAGAAGTGTGGTGTTTTAGAAGTGAGGTGTTTTAGTGAGGTGTTTTAGAAGTGTGGTGTTTTAGTGAGGTGTTTTAGAAGTGAGGTGTTTTAGAAGTGAGGTGTTTTAGAAGTGAGGTGTTTTATTAGTGAGGTGTTTTAGAAGTGAGGTGTTTTAGTGAGGTGTTTTAATAGTGAGGTGTTTTAGAAGTGTGGTGTTTTAGAAGTGAGGTGTTTTAGAAGTGAGGTGTTTTAGTGAGGTGTTTTAATAGTGAGGTGTTTTAGAAGTGAGGTGTTTTAGTGAGGTGTTTTAATAGTGAGGTGTTTTAGAAGTGAGGTGTTTTAATAGTGAGGTGTTTTAGAAGTGAGGTGTTTTAATAGTGAGGCGTTTTAGAAGTGTGGTGTTTTAGAAGTGAAGTGTTTTAGTGAGGTGTTTTAGACGTGAGGTGTTTTAATAGTGAGGTGTTTTAGAAGTGTGGTGTTTTAGAAGTGAGGTGTTTTAGAAGTGAGGTGTTTTAGTGAGGTGTTTTAATAGTGAGGTGTTTTAGAAGTGTGGTGTTTTAGAAGTGAAGTGTTTTAGTGAGGTGTTTTAGACGTGAGGTGTTTTAGACGTGAGGTGTTTTAGACGTGAGGTGTTTTAGAAGTGTGGTGTTTTAGAAGTGAGGTGTTTTAGAAGTGAGGTGTTTTAGTGAGGTGTTTTAATAGTGAGGTGTTTTAGAAGTGAGGTGTTTTAGTGAGGTGTTTTAATAGTGAGGTGTTTTAGAAGTGAGGTGTTTTAATAGTGAGGTGTTTTAGAAGTGAGGTGTTTTAATAGTGAGGTGTTTTAGAAGTGTGGTGTTTTAGAAGTGAAGTGTTTTAGTGAGGTGTTTTAGAAGTGTGGTGTTTTAGTGAGGTGTTTTAATAGTGAGGTGTTTTAGAAGTGAGGTGTTTAAGTGAGGTGTTTTAGAAGTGAGGTGTTTTAGAAGTGAGGTGTTTTAGTGAGGTGTCTTAGAAGTGAGATGTTTTAGAAGTGTGGTGTTTTAGTGAGGTGTTTTAATAGTGAGGTGTTTTAGTGAGGTGTTTTAGAAGTGAGGTGTTTTAGAAGTGAGGTGTTTTAGTGAGGTGTTTTAGAAGTGAGGTGTTTTAGAAGTGAGGTGTTTTAGAAGTGAGGTGTTTCAGTGAGGTGTTTTAATAGTGAGGTGTTTTAGTAGTGAGGTGTTTTAGTGAGGTGTTTAGAAGTGAGGTGTTTTAGTGAGGTGTTTTAGAAGTGTGATGTTTTAGTGAGGTGTTTTAGAAGTGAGGTGTTTTAATAGTGAGGTGTTTTAGAAGTGTGGTGTTTTAGTGAGGTGTTTTAATAGTGTGGTGTTTTAGAAGTGTGGTGTTTTAGAAGTGAGGTGTTTTAGAAGTGAGGTGTTTTAGTGAGGTGTTTTAGAAGTGTGATGTTTTAGTGAGGTGTTTTAGAAGTGAGGTGTTTTAATAGTGAGGTGTTTTAGAAGTGTGGTGTTTTAGTGAGGTGTTTTAATAGTGAGGTGTTTTAGAAGTGAAGTGTTTTAGTGAGGTGTTTTAATAGTGAGGTGTTTTAGAAGTGTGGTGTTTTAGTAGTGAGGTGTTTTAGTGAGGTGTTTTAAAAGTGACGTGTTTTAATAGTGAGGTGTTTTAGAAGTGAGGTTTTTTAGTGAGGTGTTTTAGAAGTGAAGTGTTTTAGTGAGGTGTTTTAGAAGTGAGGTGTTTTAGAAGTGAGGTGTTTTAGTGAGGTGTTTTAGAAGTGTGGTGTTTTAGTGAGGTGTTTTAGAAGTGAGGTGTTTTAGAAGTGAGGTGTTTTAGTGAGGTGTTTTAGAAGTGAGGTGTTTTAGTGAGGTGTTTTAGAAGTGAGGTGTTTTAGAAGTGTGGTGTTTTAGAAGTGAGGTGTTTTAGAAGTGAGGTGTTTTAGTGAGGTGTTTTAGAAGTGAGGTGTTTTAGTGAGGTGTTTTAGAAGTGTGGTGTTTTAGTGAGGTGTTTTAGAAGTGTGGTGTTTTAGAAGTGAGGTGTTTTAGTGAGGTGTTTTAGAAGTGTGGTGTTTTAGTGAGGTGTTTTAGAAGTGAGGCGTTTTAGAAGTGTGGTGTTTTAGAAGTGTGGTGTTTTAGTGAGGTGTCTTAGAAGTGAGGTGTTTTAGAAGTGAGGTGTTTTAGAAGTGTGGTGTTTTAGAAGTGAGGTGTTTTAGAAGTGTGGTGTTTTAGAAGTGAGGTGTTTTAGTGAGGTGTTTTAGAAGTGTGGTGTTTTAGTGAGGTGTTTTAGAAGTGAGGTGTTTTAGAAGTGTGGTGTTTTAGTGAGGTGTCTTAGAAGTGAGATGTTTTAGAAGTGTGGTGTTTTAGTGAGGTGTTTTAGAAGTGTGGTGTTTAAGTAAGGTGTTTTAGAAGTGAGGTGTTTTAGTGAGGTGTTTTAGAAGTGAGGTGTTGTAGAAGTGTGGTGTTTTAGTGAGGTGTTTTAGTGAGGTGTTTTAGACGTGAGGTGTTTTAGACGTGAGGTGTTTTAGTGAGGTGTTTTAGACGTGAGTTGTTTTAGAAGTGAGGTGTTTTAGACGTGAGTTGTTTAAGTGAGGTGTTTTAGTGAGGTTTTTTAGTAGTGAGGTGTTTTACAAGTGAGGTGTTTTAGAAGTGAGGTGTTTTAGACGTGAGTTGTTTAAGTGAGGTGTTTTAGTGAGGTTTTTTAGTAGTGAGGTGTTTTAGACGTGAGGTGTTTAAGTGAGGTGTTTTAGAAGTGTGGTGTTTTAGAAGTGAGGTGTTTTAGACGTGAGGTATTTTAGTGAGTGTGTTTAGTGAGGTATTAATAACTTTAAATAAGCTCTATTAAAGAAATTTTAAATCTGGACGTCACCAGTTTCTGAACCCTGGTTAGGGCCCTGCTTGAAGTGTTAATCGCCTGTTTGATCAGCATCATGAAGAGGTTCATGTGTGTCAGTGCTCACCACGCAGGAAGCCCTTCAGCTTTTTCGACAGCAATCCATTCAAAGGTTTCACCTGCACACAAACACAGAACACAGCGGCATCATTATTACTGTTGTTACAGACTGACAAGAAGGAAAAACCTCCTGAACTTGCCGGTCCAAGTGTCCATAAGGTGGCATTGTCACAGTGTCAGGTATCTGTGAGGTATCTAAACTGTCCATTCAGTTTCAAAATCTATTGGAACTAAACTGGTTAAATTATATTATACAGAATATGTTTGACTGATCTATTGTGTAAATTTGTGCTCCAAGAATTGAATCAAATATGAATCAAACTGCACAGGCTTGATCTAATTCCAGATTCTCGTCATGGAGCCACAGTGCCCTCCTGAGGACAAAAGAGGTACAACATGCCATGTTTTCTGTCTGTACAGGGATGTGAAATCCTTCACCATAAACCTATTTTACTTGTCAATTTAAATCTTCATTCTTAACCCTTTAAGTAGTTTGTTAGCGTAGAAGTTACATGTTACTGCTAACTAGTCACAACCTTCTAGTTAAGTAATACCCCAACTGCATAAATACGACAGTTACTTATAGTAGGAGGAGTAACGTTTAATCTGAGTTTGTTCTGTCCTTCTTTAGCAGCTTTATAATTGTCCTGTTTATCAGAAGAAAGTCATAGTGGTCAGGTCAAAGTTTTTCTGTTCTACTTGGATCCTGTAACAATTTGTTATTGCGCAGCTTAAACCTTAAACTTGAAAACACAAAGTTGGCAGGTGGGTTGAACTTTTCTCCCACTACTCAGGCACATATAATGGCCCTCTGAAAATCAGCTTTGCATTTACGTAATTATCTCAAGAAGGCTTGGCTTTGAGTCCAAATCCTTTCATCACTTTAATCTCTTAAGTCATCTGGTCTTCTCCGCTGGAAATGTCCAATGTTCGATTTTTATCGAGCTGCTTGAATCCGATTATCGCTGCTGAATGTTTGTTTTGGGTTTGTACCGCTGTAGTAAACTGGGTCGTGTTGGCATAAACTTCTGCGAGTACTGCACAGAATTTGCGATGTATGTGAACGTGCCATAAGAATTAAAGCTAACACGCCCACAGGGCGTGTCTTTTCATTGGTCAACACTAGACCTGGCCTTCTACTGGTTGGGGATTCTGACAGCGTTCTTGCAAAAGCAGTACGAGAGCAGAAATCTGAGAGCAAACGTTTCACAGAAGCAGCGCGAGTGTGAGGAGAAGAGCTGTAGCTGAGGCAGGAAATCTGTGCAGCAACAAAACATCCGAGTCCAAACTCACAGTCTGAACAGACCGGAGCAGGTCTGAGTGCGAGCTGTGAGGGCAGGGAAAGATTTACAGCATCTGAGTGTGAAATCAATACGTCACGCACTCAGACTTGAATAAAGAGTCACGCTCTCAGACTCTTAACTAAAGACAGGAAAATGATGTGGCTGGTGGGTTCTTACCAGATTGTCTCTGATACTATTTTTGGTGATGATGGTACAGCTGAAAGATAGAACCAAGTTTAGCTTAGCATGGATGCTAATGGGATTCTGTGTGCTGTAGCACGTGTGACTGTGTGTGTGTGTGTGCTTACTCGACGTTGCTTGAAGGGAGAGTCAGGTAGTTTCCCTTGATGGCGACCATTATCTGAACCGTACAACTCTGGAGGAGAAACAGTTTGATGTTTAGTTGTAGAAGAAGAAATGGTCTCACCTGACGGTCAGACTGAGAGGACAGCTTGGTCCTGGATCAGACTGTAAATACTGTCATGCAGGTGCTAGGATGTCTGTCAACTGTTCAACAACTATATTTCATGGATTCAGAGCTGCAGTGGGCGGGAAACCAATCAATTAATCATTATAAACACTGCAGATGTGTCTGTTATTAGTCTCTCCATTGACTTCGTTCGTTATCACGCTGCCTCTATAACTCCTCTTGCTCTGTGGGGAAAACCTCAGGGGGTGGTGGGAAAGTGCTTCTTTCCTCTGGCATTAATCATCTCACAACCCCTCTGATTTTGTCTGATTTTGTTTGTTTCTGCTTTTGAGCGAGTGGGAGGTGCTGGTGGGCTTTTGTTTGGGTCTGTCTGTTTGTGTTCTCTGGCTTTCTCTCCCTCTCGCTTGTCCTTTCTTCCTCTCCAATGCAAGGGCTGCGCTGGTGGGGCCCTTTGTTTCAGGTACAGGTGAGACGCTGACATCAGATCATGACAGATGTGTGTGTTCTGGTTGTGGTTGTGTTTTTACCGCTGACACCGAGAGGAGCTGCTCCTGTTCCCTTCCAGCCGGCACTGCGAACACACGGACTCTGGCTCTGGCAGTGATCGTCACTCCATCCCTATGGCTGGTGGTGATGCTCGGCGCCTCGGTGACTTCCACTTCAGCAGAGAGGGGATCTGTCATCCGCAATGGTTGCTATGGAAACACAGCATTAGTAAGTAGAACAGCGCACTCAGTAGAGTGCAGATCTGCACCAGGTGTGTCTGTGGGCAGATGGGAGGGGGGCGACTGTTTTTTAAATTTGTTACAGACCAACTCCAGCTTGTTAGAATCTCAGATTGTGACAGCTCCCCTTCAACAGAGGAATTAGAAAACACTAAAGTCAAGGTCTGACATTTAGGAGACACATTTTTGAGTTGATTGATTAATATAAGTTTAAACACCCTATAACTAATATATTTTTCATTTCCGCTCGAAAATGCTTGCTAATAAATGCATGCAGACAACTATTAGCTGGAAAACACTGTAGGGCCATGGCATAAAGCCTTACCTAGTCCTAGTTTAAATTCCATACCAATACCATTAAAAATGACTATTTCACACAGGTTTTTCCAAGTGTATGTTGTATTTTTTTCTGAAACAGCTCCGCCCCTTGGTGGCAGGCGGCTGCTGCTGCATCGCTCCGTATCAGCTGGCAGCTCGACGCAGATGTGATTTTTTGCTGGTAGATCATGAACTTCCTACTTAAAGCTGGATATCATTATTTTCAGAATTTTATTGGCTACATGAAGTGCCAGTCATCGGCACAAGTGATTGCAATTGGCTCGGCCTACCCGCGAAATAACAGGGGCTGGCCCTTCCTTACAGCGTGGGCTCTCGTTGGCTGTTGTAGGCTGTGAAAGGGACATGTGAGCTCCTATTGGGTCGTATTTGGTGTCACTCAAAAGGTCAGAGTTCAGCAGCTAATTTGAATACAAGCTATCGTATTTGTTTACAATCAAATCAGAGTTTGAACAGTTATAATGACATATGAGCCACGTCTGCTGGCAAATATGAAACGATGCAGCAGCTGTCCCTGGGGATTTATTGATGGAATAATGTGTTTTGGACTAAATGTTTTTACTGGATTGGATCGTCTGGACCTTTGACAACGTAACAAGACCGTTTTTGTTGGAATATAATCGATCGGTTGATTAGTTATTATGAGGCTTCATAGGTGCTTTGCGTCAATTTTGATTGTACTGGCTGGTCTGACAGAAGCGCTGATTGGACCCGCTGTGGTGATTGTATCTTGAAATGGTTTGCATTGGTCAAATCACAAGGATTTTAGCTTTCAAACGGTGGATCATATGAGTATGAAATTAACATAGCAGCTGTATGCACATACCGAAAGCCACCGCCAGGAAATGACTGCCCGTGGGCAGGCCGTTGGAATAGTAAGAGGTTAAGTAGCCCAGTTAGAAGAGAGGGGCAGTTTTTCAGTGTAATAAAAGCTTGAATCAGCATGTCAGCGTTGTTGTGAGCTCAGTTTGGTGATATTCCTAAAATGAAAAACACTGGCTGCAGCTTCACCTTGTTCTCATTAGTTTTTAAAATACTTCAAGTCAAGTGATACGGTTAATAAAAGCATTCAAAGAACTGGGATCGTATGGAGAAACAGATATAATTGCGTATCATCTGCGTAAAGTGATATACAGAATAGAGGAGGGCCCTGAATGCTTCCTTGGAGAACATCATAATCAAACATCTGTGACTCACAATCACCTTAACTAACCAATAATTTTATAAACTACATGTTGGAAATGAAAAGGGATAACACACTCATTTTATATGTCCTTTGAAGACCTTTTCTGCTAATTTCTTTTTGCACTTACCCTACTCAACTGGAGAGCTCTCAGAGCAGCCTTCAGACCTGCATCGGTCACCTGGTGAGGAGAACAAAGGAGGTTTGTATCATCAGGATCAGCTGAAAGACACACTAAATAAACTCACTTCATACAGTCAAATACATTAGTGGTTAGGTCTCTCAGAGTAAAAGCCTGGGGTGGTGAGCTGCGTGGCTCAATTTGGTGAACCACGTCATCTTGTGGTTTGGCAGGTGTTTTTTGGCTATTCCCACCATTTCAGTCTGCGCCATGACTCCTGTGCTGTAGACCGACATGATGGCGCTGTTGATGAGGAACTCAGAGACGCCCACGTAAGCCATCCGGTCACTTTCTCTGAAAACTGGATCTGCACCTCTTCTTATTGAACCAGCATCAACAGTCTCGCCCTGCCTGAACACCAAGCCCTGAAACACACAGTCAGTCTATTAAATAGTATAGTGGCATTATTAACGGGCCCATACACCGGGTTACTTCTCGTGGTGTTCAGGCAGCAGGAAATGTTCAGTTTTTTTCTCACTTTGAAAGGCACATCGAGGAATGTGGAGGCCACTGTGACGTCTCCGCTCAGAGAGTAGTCGATGTTGAGGTCTTTGTACAGAGTCATCGCCATGGAGATGTTCTCCAACATGGAGTTAACTTGAGGAACAGCGTACCTCTGAACAGCAGGACAGAGCTGCAGACAGACAGACAGTGTTGGTGTCTCCTCCTGGTCCAAGGAGGGGCAGTAGTGTTAAAAAGCTCTACATAGATTACATAGAGTTTGTGGGAATTAATTCTATATATCTTATTAGCACGCTCTCAGACAATCACATCACTGATCTCATCGCTCTGAAACAACCTGTTTGTTCTTTTAAAGGTTCTTCAACTGATTCATCTTGTCTCACTACTGGAACTCTGTCGGACAGTTTAAAAAAATGGATCAACTTACTGCAGCAGAACCGGAGATGAAGTTCATTTTATATCACACGTTCTTCTTCCTTATCAAAAGCTGCCACCTACATTACCCAGAATGCACCTCTCCCTAGACTGAGCTATGTTAGTAGTAGCTAATGGAGCTTGCAGCAGAGATGAGCCGCAGCTGCACAGATCTGCAAGCTCATTCCTAACTTTACAACTTGTTGTCCCTGTCTGAGGCACTTAAGCCGTCTACTAGTTTAAAAACATGTCCAGTAGAACTCCCCAACACCTGGGGATACCTGGAGACACCTAGGGACACCTGGGGACTCCTAACTGTCTCGGGAGAGGGTTCCCACCTGCTTCAAGACAACCACTATCGTTCCTGTACCTACAGTAAATAGTCTGCAGTGTCTGGTCTGAACGACCACCACCCTGTGGCTCTCACCCCCATTCTGATGAAGTGTTTTGAGAAACTGGTACTTCAGCACATAAAGAACAAAATCCCAGCCAGACTGGACCTCACCAGTTTGCTTTCAGAACCATCTGATCCACAGAGGATGCCATCTCCACTGCCCTCCACTCAGCCCTCAAACACCTTGAGAAAAACAACACCTACATCAGAATGCTGTTTGTGGATTTCAGCTCAGCGTTCAACACAATCTCCCCATGAAGCTGATCAGCAAACTCAGCACTCTGGGTTTAAACACAACACTCTGCAGCTGGATACTGGACTTCCTCACAAACAGACCCCAGTCAGTTCGGATTGGCGGACACACCTCTACGCAGAGTCGCAGTCTAACACACTTCTCTGCTCCTCCATTTCAGGAGTTACTTAGTGAAAATCCTATAGTGACGGTGTCTGCCCCCCGACCATCGAAATTATTTAAAAAGGTAAACAGAAGAGGAGCTGTGCATAAAAACCTCATAAAAATTAAATCCACAAGAGCAATAGTGCAAACGAATAGGAGAGTTAAATGTGGACACTTAAACATCAGATCTCTCTCTTCTAAAGGTGTACTAGTAAATGAACTAATATCAGATTATGATATTGATTTATTTGGTCTTACTGAAACCTGGCTGGGTGATGGAGAATATGTTAGCCTAAATGAACTTTAGGTTTTATTAGATCTTAGTGCTGCATTTGATACCATTGACCATCAGATCCTATTGCAGAGACTGGAATATTTCATTGGCATTAAAGGAACCGCTCTAAGCTGGTTTAAGTCCTATTTATCAGATCAATTTCAGTTTGTACATGTTAACGATGAGTCCTCCATGCACGCCAAAGTTACTCATGGAGTTCCTCAAGGATCTGTCCTTGGACTAATCCTCTTCACTTTATATATGCTTCCTTTAGGCAATATTATCAGGAAACATTCCATAAGCTTTCATTGTTATGCAGATGATACTCAGTTATATCTATCGATCAAGCCAGATGAAACTCATCAGTTAGCTAAACTTCAAATGTGCCTTCAGGATGTTAAAACCTGGATGAGCTGTAATTTTCTCATGTTAAACTCAGATAAAATGAAGTTATTGCTCTGGGGCCTAAGCACCTCCGTGACGCATTATCTAAAGATGTAGTTTCCCTGGATGGCATCGCCTTGGCCTCCAGCACCACTGTGAGGAATCTTGGAGTTATCTTTGATCAGGACATGTCGTTTAAGTCTCACATTAAGCAAATTTCAAGGACCGCCTTTTTTCACCTACGTAATATTGCGAAAATCAGGAACATCCTGTCTAAAAATGATGCAGAAAAACTAGTCCATGCATTTGTTACTTCTAGGCTGGATTACTGCAATTCCTTATTATCAGGCTGCTCGAAAAAGTCCGTTAAGACTCTTCAGCTGATCCAGAATGCTGCAGCACGTGTTCTGACAGGAACCAGGAAAAGAGATCACATTTCTCCTGTTTTAGCTTCTTTGCATTGGCTTCCAGTAAAATCCAGAATAGAATTTAAAATCATTCTTCTTACCTACAAAGCTCTTAATGGTCAGGCACCATCTTATCTTAAAGAGCTCATAGTACCTTACTACCCCACCAGAGCACTGCGCTCCCAGAATGCAGGGTTACTTGTGGTTCCTAGAGTCTCCAAAAGTAGACTAGGAGCCAGAGCGTTCAGCTATCAAGCTCCTCTCCTGTGGAACCAGGTTCCAGTTTGGGTTCAGGAGGCAGACACCATCTCCACATTTAAGAGTAGGCTTAAGACTTTCCTCTTTGATAAAGCTTATAGTTAGTATAAGCCTTAGTTATGCTGCTATAGGCCTAGACTGCCGGGGGATTTCCCATGATGCACTGAGCTCCTCTCTCCTCTACTTTCTCTCCCTCTGTATGCAACCTCATCCCATTATTGCATGTTACTAACACAACTTCTCCCCTTTCTGGTAGTCTTGTGCTTTCTCGTCCCTCTCCTCTCTCCTATCACTTCCTGCAGGTTTTCTGGCTCTGGAGCTGTGGAGTCTGGATCTGTGGTTGCGGGTCACCTGCTGCCCCCGTGTTCCTGCTCGACACCCTCTGCTGCAACGACTATTGTTGCTAGTCTTATTGTTATTATTGTTATTATAATCATTAACATTACGATTGTTACCATTAACACTATTATAAATATCTGTACCATTTTTCATTTAGTCTATAGCAACATTACCTTCACTGTCTGTACCTCTGTGTGTATATTGTGTAGGCTGCCTCCCTCCCCTCTCTCTCTCCTTACATCTCTCTCTCTCTCTCTCTCTCTGTGTGTGCGCATGCGTTGAGTGAGTGAGGTGCGTGGAGAGTGTGTGACGGCGGTGAAAGGTACGAGTGTTTGAAAAACTTTTTCTACCCTTTTCTATCTTTGGTAATTGTTTTTTGGTATTTATAATTGGGGTTTTAGGGAATATTGGTGAGGAAGGTGGTTAGTTTTGGGTGAGTTTGACTCCCAGTCGGTGTACTGGGAGAATGGCAGCTCCCGGTGCGGAAAGTTTGGAGTTTCTAACGAGGCGTCACGGTGTGAAAATCGATGCTACTGCAAGTATAGAGGAGTGTAGTTTAGCGGTGAGTGCAGTAGTTGGTCATGAGAATGTTTTATCGGCGTCGCGAATGAACAACGCGATTGTTTTGTTCGTTAAGACGATCGAATTGGCGAACTTGTTGGTGGAGAGTGGTGTAGAGATTGGTGGTATTTTTACCTCAGTGCTACCTCTCTCTACGCCATCTAAGAGAGTAACGTTATCTAACGTGCCGCCGTTCATCAAGAACGAAGTTCTGGTTGGAATGCTCTCGAGGTATGGGAAACTGGTCTCTCCCATTAAGATGATTTTGATTGGAAGTAAGTCATCGTTGTTGAAACATGTGGTGTCTTTCAGGCGTTATGTTTATATGGTACTGAAAGATAACGTTGAGGAACTTGATCTGACTCTAAATTTTCGACATGAAGAATTTAATTACGTGATATATGCTACAACTAATACAATGAGGTGTTTTGGTTGCGGTGAAAATGGACACCTTATTCGTGGTTGTCCAAAAAGAGAGGAAAACGTAAATAAAACTGCATTAACTGTTGCTTCAGAAAGTGCAAATGAAGTGCAGAATGAAATCGCTACAGTTGTTGAGGAGATGCCGGGTCCAAGCAGGGCGTCGGTTGCTCCTAAAGTGGTAGAGAAGGTTTCTGAGATTGTGGAAAAGTCGGTGTAGCTGCAGCTGGGGAGAAAGAGGGTATATGTTCCCAGAGGATAGAACAAGCAGTTGTTGATTCAGATGATGGCAGTAACAGTGAAGACAAGGCTATGGTAAATCCAGAAGATGGTGATTCTGTGTTGGGAGATGAAGAATGTCTCTTTAAAATCCCCCCAAAAAGGAAGTTGTTGGAATGCCCTGCTGAAAAAAAAGCAAAAAGAATAGATGGCATTCATATGAGCCAGACTGACACTGAGAGCGAAAGTGACATTTCAGAATGTAGTGTCACTGCTAGTCTGCCCCAAAGTGGTTTCTCTAGCCGAACGTACACTGTTGTGGATATTAAGTCATTTTTGAAAATAACAAAAAATGTGAAAAAAGTCAAACTAGAGGAGTATTTTCCAGACATAATACAGTTTATCGAGAAGGTAAAGATTTTTAGAAGTGAAAGTTGTTTCACTAATCAAGAGGTTTACCGTCTTAAGAAAATTATTATGAAATTAAGTAGTCAGTCAGGCGGGCTCAGTGAAAACAGCTAGAATGGGTAAATTGAGGCATCTTTTATGGCTTTGTTTCTTTTGCTCTCTTTCTTTATCCTTTATGGGGGAAATACATTTTGCTTCCTTGAATGTTAATGGAGCAAGAGATTTTAAGAAGAGAGCTCAAGTTTTTGAATTAATGAAATATAAGAAAATTGATGTGTTGTTTTTACAAGAGACACATACTGATGTATCAAATGCTGTAGACTGGGTAAAAGAATTTGATGGATTAGTGATTTTAAGCCATCATACCTCATTGAGTGGTGGAGTTGCAGTGTTATTTTCAAAAGATTTTATTGTATTGTATTGTCTGTATTTGAAAATAGTTCTTTTGTTTTTGTCTGTGTATACGCTCCAACTATGGCATTGGAAAGAATGATATTTTTGAACACTTTGGATGATGTTTTAAATGAGTGTTATAATGATGATTTTTTAATGTTAGGAGGGGATTTTAATTGTACTGAAAATGTCATAGATCGAAATCATGTTGAACCACACATGCAATCCAGAAAGAGGCTAATTCAAATGAAAAAGTCTCATAGCATAATTGATATATGGAGGAATTTCCATGGTATACAGAGACAGTATACTTGGGCTCATGCTCATGAAAATCAGTTATCGCTGGCAAGGCTTGATAGATTCTATGGATTTAAGCATCAATTAAGCATGTTTAGAGAATGTTCAATAAGTCCGGTTTGTTTTTCCGATCACAGCTTGATAAAATGTGTTGTAGCAAAAAGTTTTGTCAAATCAAAAAGTGCTTATTGGCATTTTAACAATAATTTATTATCTGACTTTTTTTTTAGAGAAGTTTTTAAAGAGTTCTGGACAAATGCTAAAGCTATGAAGTCATCTTTCTTAACATTGCAGCAGTGGTGGGATTTTGTTAAAATACAAATCAAACAATTGTGTCAACAATATACTCACAACGCCACAAGAGACAGAAATACCTCAATGAGTATGTTAGAAGAAGAGTTGATGAAGCTACAAGAGCTTGCAGAGTCCACAAAAGATGCCACCCATATAGAGCACATAAAAAAGAAAAAAAAATATTATCTGACATGCTAGGCTGTGCAACACAAGGTGCTATCATTAGATCCCGTTTTCAAAGTGCAGAATTAATGGATGCTCCTTCTAAATTCTTTTTCAGTCTAGAAAAAAAGAATGGACAGAAAAAGTTCATTCATGCCTTGCAGTCCGAAGAAGGGGATTTGTTGACAAATCCCTCAGATATTAGGAAGAGAGTTGTACTTTTTTACAAAGAGTTGTACAAAAGTGAAATTTCTGAAGAGCAAGATGACAATTTGAATTTTTTTGAAAATTTACCTCAGATAACTAAAAATGCAAATGAGGAAATTAGTAGAACTTTGAGTTTAGTTGAGCTCGAAAATGCCCTTAAAAGAATGGAAAATGGAAAAGCACCAGGTATCGATGGCATTACAACTGAATTTTATAAATCTTTTTGGGTAGAAATAGGTCCAGAATTATTAACAGTTTTTAATGAGAGTCGGGCAGATGGACAACTGCCTAGAAGCTGCCGTAGAGCAATTATTACTTTATTGCCTAAAAAAGCCTATAAAATGCCTATAAAATATTGTCTAAAGCTTTGGCAATCAGATTGGGGGAAGTCATTGAATCGATTATTCATCCAGATCAGTCATATTGCGTACCAGGAAGGAGAATCTTTGATAATGTTTCTTTTATCAGAGATATTTTTTACTGTGGAAAAATTTTTAACGTAGATTTTGGTATGATATCAATCGATCAAGAGAAGGCTTTCGACAGAGTCGAGCATATTTATTTATGGAGTGTTTTAAAAGCCTTTGGTTTTAGTTCGGAGTTTATTGAAGTGATTAAGATGATGTATTGTGGCGTTGAGAGTATATTAAAGATTAATGGTGACTTATGCTCTCCATTTAGTGTCTACAGGGGTGTCAGACAAGGCTGTGCGCTGTCAGGCATGTTGTACACCTTAGCCATAGAACCCCTGTTAAAAAAACTAAGATCTAATGTGTGTGGACTGTGTATGCCAAATTGTGCTACTGTTTTTAAGTTATCAGCATACGCTGATGATGTCATTGTCATAATCAGTGAACCCAACGATGTCAATGTGATGTTGAAGATCATAGATGATTTTAAAACTCTTTCTTCAGCAAAGGTTAACTGGGAAAAAAGTGAAGCCATACTAGTTGGAAAATGGCCAAAAGGTGAACCAAGGGTTCCTGATGGACTAAACTGGACAAGAGATGGTTTTAAATATCTAGGAGTCTTTGTAGGAGATGAAAATGTTGTAAAAAAGAATTTTGAAGGCACTGTTGAAAAGATCAAAGGGCGACTGGATAAGTGGAGGTTTTTACTCCCTAAAATTTCCTATAAAGGCAGAATTTTGATCATAAACAATCTGGTTGCCTCTGCACTTTTACACCGCCTAGCCTGTATAGATCCCCCCCAGTGGATGTACTGACGAAAATCCAGTCAATGTTAATCGATTTCTTCTGGGACAGAATGCACTGGGTATCAAAAAGTGTGTTGTATTTATCAAAAGACGAAGGAGGACTTGGGTTGATACACTTGCAGAGCAGAACGGCTGCATTTCGTCTGCAATACGTACAGAGACTTTTGAAGTGCTCCTCAGAGTCCAGTTGGATGGCGGCTGCCTGTGCGATCCTCCGGAATATCGAAGGGCTAGGACTGGACAAAACTTTATTCTGGTTGGACTCTCAAAGACTGAAAATATCTAATTGTCCAGTTTTTTATCGTAACTTATTAAAAGTTTGGTCTCTGTTTAAGAAAAGTAGGGAAAGCAATGTTGCTTCTCTGTTTTGGCTACTTTGAGAACCATTGGTCGGTGGCTCACGTTTGGATTTATCACGTGAGTTTTCTTTTGCCATACCAGAAAGGACTTTGTGTAACGCCAAGCTGACAGAAATTGGTCATCTACATCAAATAGCAGGACCTGCTTTTAGGAATGTGACCGCGATTGCTGAGCATCTAGGACTCAAATCATGCCGTATAGTAGAAAAAGCACTTGAAAAGTGGAGATCGGCCCTCACTGAGGAAGAGACAGATCTGCTGGATCATTACTCACAGGGGTTAATAAACCCTGATTGTAAAGACCCTTTTCCGAAGTTGGGTATTTCTCCCATTTTGGGAGAACACAACAGCATGTTTTTACATTGTAAAGAAATAATGATTGTGGGTTCAAATGTTGTACTTGGGAAAGAATTGTACAAGGTTTGTGTAAAAGTTTTTAATAAGAAATGTTTAGATAACAAGTGTGATACACCATGGCGAAATATACTTAATCTTGCTGTCGATGAAAAGCCAGAATGGAGAGCCTTGTATAAGTCACCATTAATCAAAAAACTGGGGATTTACAGTGGAGAGTGTTACATGGTGCTATTGCAGTAAATGCATTCGTCTCCTTGATCAATTCTGAAGTGACTGAAGGCTGCCCTTTTTGTTTGGAAAAAGAGACTATTTTTCATGCTTTTATGCACTGTGGGAGGTTAAAACCTTTATTTGATATTTTGAGAAAACTTTTTGATTCTTTTAATGAGTTTTTTTCAATGAAAGTGTTTATTTGTGGATTTAAATATGTGAAGAAATTTCATCATAAGTGTCAATTGTTGAATTTCTTGATAGGTCAGGCAAAAATGGTGATTTATACCACAAGGAAAGAAAAAATTGAGCAAAATGTTTGTAACAGTTTGGTAGCAATTTTTATAAAATTAGTCAAATCTAGGATTTTGATTGATTATCATTATTATAGATTAATGCATGATTTTTTATCCTTTGAGGTAAGATGGTGTCTAAATAAGGTCCTTTGTGAAATTGTTGAAGAAGAGTTGCTGTTTTCTATCTTTTAAGATTTTTTATTGGTCTTTAAATTAATGATGTTGTTTGGCAGTTTGTAATAGTTATTGTGTATATTGTAATTAAAAAGGGTTTTGAAAATCAAAATCAAATCCTTACATCCCTCTCTCTCTCTCTCTCTCCTTACATCTCTCCCTCTCCCTCTCTCACCCTCTCTCTCTCTCTCTCCTTACATCTCTCCCTCTCTCTCTCTCTCTCTCTCTCTCTCTCTTACATCTCTCTCTCTCTCTCTCTCTCTCCTTACATCTCTCTCTCTCTCTCTCTCTCTCTCTCTCTCTCTCTCTCTCCTTCACCCCAACCGGTGGAGGCAGATGGTCGCCCACCATGAGTCATGGTTCTGCTCGAGGTTTCTGCCTCTTAAAGGAAGTTTTTCCTTGCCTCTGTCTCCTAGTGCTGCTCTTGGTGGGAACTGTTGGGCTTCTGTAAATATCATCACAGAGTACGGTCTAGACCTGCTCTTTATGAAAAGCGCTGTGAGATAACTGTTGTTGTGATTTGGCGCTATATAAATAAAATGAATTGAATTGAATTGAATTGAAATTGAACCTCCTCCACTCTAGTGCTCACCACCGGAGCCCCCCGGGGCTGTGTGCTCAGCCCCCTCCTGTTCACGCTGTACACCCACGACTGCATCCCCCGACATGGAAAAAACTCCTGTGGTGGCAACAACACCATCCTCTTCTGGGTTTGAAACAACAATGAGACTTCATCTCGGGAGGAAATTCATAATCTTTCAGAGTGGTGCTCAGAGAAAAACCTACTGCTCAACGTCAGCAAAACTAAGGAGATAAAGACACACTCCTGTGTACATCAGTGGAGCTGAGGTGGAGCAGGTGAACAGTTTCAGGTTCCTGTGAATCAGCATCACAGAGAACCTGATATGGTCATCTCACAAGCTCAGAAACAACTGGATTTCTTGAGGAAGCTTAAGAAGGCCAAATTCCCACGGCAAGTTCTTGTCAGCTTTTCCAGAGGCGCAACAGAAAGCATCCTGACTGGAAACATCACTAACATGGAATGTGCACGGCCCAGGACCAGAGGGCTCTGCAGCGGGTAATTCAAACTGCTCAGAAGATCCTTGGTACCCATCTCCCGAGCATCAGTGATATCAGTGAGGACAGTACCGACCCAGCCACAGCCTGTTCACCTTGCTACATGCTGGGAAGAGATACAGAAGTTTCTGCTGCCTGAGAGACTCTAACTTCATCCTCAGCTCTGCAGAACTCTAATCTGCGTAGAAGTACTTCAAATAAATGTTTCAGTCTGAAACATCACACCTGTGCATCTGAACATACAGATTTAGGATTTAGTTTTTCCAGAGGAAAGCATGCAGACTCACGCAGACCTGGTTTAGCTGTTAAAGACTGGAGGTGGAACAAACCTGGGTGTTGAAAAGGTTCCGGAGAACTGGTCTGAGTACGTCCACCAGATGCCTAAAAAGCAACAAGAGAACCATTTCAGTCACTGATCAGCTGATGTAGCAGACCTGGTTTCACAGAGACCAGGTGGTGGTTTTAATGAGGATCTGGGTCTGTGTCAGTCTGTCCTCCACTGAGGTTCAGACCAAGGTTTTTCTCATGATGAACATAGGAACTTCTAACACCTAGCGCCACCATCAGGTCGACATGCTTTAAGACCAGATCCCTGCAGAGCTGAGGTCAGGATGTTCCATTAAAGTCACTCTTTAGTCAGATGATATTTAATGCATTAATATTAATCAGTTCGTCAGTAATCATAGCGGTGTTGTGTCAGAAACTGTTTCCCTGTCGATGTGTTTCCACTAACGTAACAAAGCCTTAACTCCTAAACACAGGAAACACCATGCCAGCCTGCAGGTCTGGGTGTCATCATAACCCAAACACCAACTGTCCTGGTCTAAATCTAGACCTGGTCTTAGTCTTGTCTTACCCGATCCAGCCGGTAGACTGTGTGAGGATGACATCAGCTGTGAAAACACAGTTTGGTATCTCAATGCTCAGACGTCCTTGTTGGTTTCGGCTCAGTTTCACTCCGATGGTGGCGCTCACGCCTGCTCCTCCGAACGCTATACTTCCTGCGTCAAGACTGCGACAGAAAACCAACAGGTGAGATCCTCCAGTGATGAGCTGATGCTCTGTTAGCTGAACGTCCTCAGGGTTTGTTCAAAGGAACATTTTACAGCTTGACCATGTGCAGGACGTGTTCAATCTGCAGATATTTCTAATGGAGTTTGGTAGAGTGTTTCCTCTCAGGCTGCAACACTGATGGATTATTAATTAAAAACTTTTTTATCATCAGGTTCATGATTTATCAGCGGATTCCTCATGACAAAGAGGAAGATTTTTAGGTTTTACTGGATATTCATTGATTTATGTGAGTGATCATGTGTTGGTAGATTATTACTGATCTGAGAAGAATCTCCTCTAAATCACTTTATTAAACTGAACCTCAAACTGTACTGGAGAGTGTAAAATAATGACTTCAATACAAACGTCACAGCTGCAGGAGTAAAGTATGTGAACTGGCTAAAAGTCAATTTGAGGTTTCATACGTACTGAAATTCTCTCCACAAACGCAGGTTGACTTCCCGCTCAAGGTCTCCAGCGAAGGTAAGGTTCCTAAACTCAAACTGGAGACCTGAACCCTGCTGGAAACTGAGACCAACCTGATCTGGATTTAGACGTGTCAGCGTCAACCTGAGGAGGAGGAAGAGAAATCATTAAAACATTTAAAATGATGAATAAAGAATCACCTCTTTCCTGCTGAAAATGCTCCAATACATTCTGAGCTGCTGAGTTTGGGATTAGATCCTTTAAACATTTTGTTGTCCTTCATTTAATCCTGTTCAGCTGTTGTGAACTTAGAACCCGGTCCACCGTGGCAGAGACAACTTTCACCTCACATAGGCATAAAGTCAACACATTCTCATTTTGTGGTCAATAACAATGCAACGTCCTGCATTCTCTGATCTTTTCTTTGGGCTGCACTTTTTATTATGTGAAGTAAAATAAAACAACAGAACATGTTCTCTCCGGGGACCATCACCTTGTCATGGTGGAGAGGTTTGCGTGCCCCTGTGAGCCTGGAGGCTGTGTTGTCTGGAGCCTAGTGCTCATGGTAGGATCTCCCAAGGCAAAGTGGTTCCAGGTGAGGGGCCAGACTGAGAATGGTTCATAAAGACCCCTTTATGAAAAATCAAGGAAGAGGAGGAGAGACCCTGCCTGGAGGAAGCCCGGGGTCCCCGTCTGGAGCCAGGCCCAGAGGGAGGGCTCGCCCAGGAGCGCCTGTTGGTTGGGTTTCCCACGGAGCCCGGCCGGGCACAGCCCGAAACAGCAACATGGCACCCCCCTCTCCATCCTTTGGACCCACCATCCATAGGAAGATCCACAGGGGTTGGGTGCGCTGCCACATGGGTGACGATGAAGGTCAGGGGCCTTTACAGACCAGGGATTGTTTTATCTGATTTCAGGCCGCATGTTTGGACACATGTTTGGACACTCGAGTGAAGATAGGGGCGGAGCTGTCAACTGATCACCATCTGGTGGTAAGTTGGGTCAGGGGGTGGGGGAAGACTCTGGACAGACCCGGTAAGCCCAAATGGGTAGTAACCTCCGGCAGAGCTTTTCTGGCATCCCTGTGGAGGTTGGAGACATTGAACCTGAGTGGGCAATGTTCAAAGTTTCTATTACTGAAGCCGCAGCGGGAAGCTGTGGTCTCAAGGTCTTAGGTGCCTCAAGGGGCGGTAACCCTTGAACACCGTGGTGGACACCGATGGTCAGGGAAGCCGCCCGACTAAAGAAGGAGGCCTTCCGGGATTTGTTGTCTCGGAGGACTCTGGAGGGTCCCTAATTTGCAAGGTACAGACAGGCCCGAAAGGCTGCAGCCTCTGCTGCGGCAGATGCAAAGCAGCGGGTGTGGGAGAAGTTCGGAGAAGACATGGAGAAGGACTTTCAGTCGGCACCAAAGTGCTTCTGGAGAACTGTCCGCTATCTCAGGAGGGGGAAGCGGGGAACCATCCAAGCTGTGTACAGTAAGGTTGGGACCCTGTTGACCTCAACTGGGGAGGTATTTGGGCGGTGGAAGGAACACTTTGAGGAACTCAAATTCAGGAACTTAATCTGACTGACACGCCCTCTCTAGTAGAGACAGAGCTGGAGGCTGATGGGGGTTTCTCTGGTCAATTTTCCTGGTGGAAGTCACTGAGGTAGTCAAACAACTCCACAGTGGCAAAGCCCCAGGGATTGATGAGATCTGCCCAGAAATGCTAAAAGCTTTGGGTGTGAAGGGGCTGTCTTGGATGACACGTCTCTTCAACATTGCGTGGAAGTTGGGTACAGTGCTCAAGGAGTGGCAGACTGGGGTGGTGGTTCCCCTGTTCAAAAAGAGGGACCAGAGAGTGTGTGCCAATTACAGGGGCATCACACTTCTCAGCCTCCCCGGTAAAGTCTACTCCAAGGTGCTGGAAAGGAGGTTCTGCCGATAGTTGAACCTCAGATTGCAGAGGAACAATGTGGTTTTCGTCCTGGTCGTGGAACAACGGACCAGCTCTTTCCTCTCACAAGGATCCTGGAGTGGGCTTGAGAATATGCCCATCCAGTCTACATGTGTTTTGTAGATCTGGAGAAGGCGTATGACCGGGTCCCCCGGGAGATACTGTGGGAGGTGCTGCGGGAGTATGGGGTAAGGGGGGCCCTTCTCAGGGCTATCCAATTCCTGTACACCCAAAGCGAGAGCTGTGTCCGAGTACTCGGCAGTAAGTCGGACTCTTTCCAGGTGAGGGTTGGCCTTCACCAGGGCTGCGCTTTGTCACCAATCCTGTTTGTGATATTTATGGACAGGATATCGAGGCGTAGTCGTGGTGAGGAGGGGTTGCAGCTCGGTGAGTTTGGAATCTCGTCACTGCTTTTTGCAGATGATTTGGTCCTGATGGCATCATTGGTCCGTGACCTTCAGCTCTCACTGGATCGGTTTGCAGCAGAGTGCGAAGCGGTTGGGATGAGGATTAGCACCTCTAAATCTGTGGCCGTGGTTCTCATCAGGAAACCTGTGGAGTGCCAACTCCAGTTAGGGAATGAGTCCTTACCCCAAGTGAAGGAGTTCAAGTACCTCGGGGTCTTGTTCACGAGTGAGGGGAGACTGGCACTCGCTTTACCACACTGTTGTGACGAAAAGAGAGCGGCCGAAATGGGTGTGGTCAGGCGGATGGTGAAAAGCTCAGCCATCCGCGAGGAGCTCAGAGTAGAGTCGCTGCTCCTTTGCGTCGAAAGGAGCCAGTTGAGGTGGTTTGGGCATCCGGTAAGGATGCCTCCTGGACGCCTCCCTAGGGAGGTGTTCCAGGCACATCCAACTGGGAGGAGGCCTCGGGGAAGACCGAGGACTAGGTGGAGAGATTATATCTCCACACTGACCTGGGTACGCCTCAGGATCCCCCAGTCAGAGCTGGTTAATGTGGCTCGGGAAAGAGATGTTTGGGGTCCCCTGCAGGAGCTGCTGCCCGCACGACCCGACCCCGGTTAAGCGGATGAAGATGGATGGATGGATGCATGGTACTTGTTCTCATACATTCATTTCACAGCAGCAAACAATAAACTGTCAGTGAGCTCTTCTAAATCACATCATGCTGTTTGTAAATGTAAATGCTCCATACTTGTATAGCGTCTTACTAGTCTTTTCGACCACTCAAAGCGCTTTTACACTACATTTGCATTCACACACATTCATACACTCAGCCACCGGAGGCAATTCGGGGTTCGGTATCTTGCCCAAGGACACTTTGACATGCAGCCTGGAAGAGCCAAGGATTGAACCGCCGGATTGAACCAGCGACCTTCCGATTAACGGGCAACCTGCTCTACCTCCTGAGCCACAGCCACCCCCACTTTCAGTGCAAGACTCATTACCCCAAAATGCACCACAGAGAACCACAGGGAGTCATTCCTGCCTGTGGCCGTCAAACTTTATATCTCCTCCCGTTAAGTGTCTGACAGTCTGTCATTAAACTAGACCATGTTATCTATTTTCTGTGCAGTATTACCTGTTCAATAATTAATGTACAATATTCTCTGCTGCTATTTATTAACTAGTACTTTTTGGTTCACCATAATAATTCTTAATAATCTAAATATTGTATATACCCACACACCTTTATATTTGTGTTTATATATTCTATTTATACTCTTATATTATATAGTCTTTATCTATCTACCTTGACAAGTGTGCAACTGTGACAAAAGAATTTCCCTTTCCCTTCATGGATCAATAAAGTATTTCTGATTCTGATTCTGATAAATGACGGCAGACTGCCACTGAGGTCAGGCTGAAACAACCAAGACATTCTGTTAACAGCTGGAACACAAAACATAATAAACAGACACAACAGGAAAGAAAGAGAAATTATAAATGCAAACAATAAGTAAAAAAGAAAAGACAATATAAAAAAAAGCAAATATATATTCACAAAAACAATATTGTTTTTTTACTTCTTAATGATGCACTGGATGCGTCTGTACACCACCGTGAAGTCTGCAAAGGGTCTGTTAACCAGCGTCTGCAGAACGTCCAGGCCAACATCTGTCACTGCGGAAACACAAACACAAACACTGCAGGTACTTCACTGAAAACACAGCACAAATACTGTCTCTCTGTGTGTGTTACAGTGTCTATGTGTGTGTTACAGTGTCTCTGTATGTGTTACAGTGTCTCTGTATGTGTTACAGTGTCTCTGTATGTGTTATCATTTTGAGAAACCAGCGAATTTAGCGAAGCCAGCGGCCATAGTTAAGTGCATCCCTGGGGCCAGAGCGGGCGACATTGAGTCTTATTTGAAACTGCTGGCTAAGGATAAACGTAAATACAGTAAGATTGTTATTCACGTCGGCGGTAATGACTCCCGGTTACGCCAATCAGAGGTCACTAAGATTAATGTTGAGTCGGTGTGTACATATGCAAAAACAATGTCGGACACCGTAGTTTTCTCTGGACCCCTGCCAAATCTGACCAGTGATGACATGTATAGCCGCATGTCGTCATTCCGCCGCTGGTTGTCGAGGTGGTGTCCAGCAAACAATGTGGGCTTTGTTGATCATTGGCAGACTTTCTGGGGAAGACCTGGTCTGATCCAGAGAGACGGCATCCATCCCACTTGGGAAGGAGCAGCTCTCATTTCTAGAAATCTGGCCAAGTTTATTAGTGGACCAAATCCATGACAACCCAGAGTTGAGACCAGGAGGCAGAGTCGCAGTTTAACACACTTCTCTGCCCTTCTTTTTCAGCAGTTACCCACCCAAAACCCTATGCAGAGTCGCAGTCTAACACACTTCTCTGCTCCTCCATTTCAGGAGTTACTTAGTGAAAATCCTATAGTGACGGTGTCTGCCCCCCGACCATCGAAATTATTTAAAAAGGTAAACAGAAGAGGAGCTGTGCATAAAAACCTTATAAAAATTAAAACCACAAGAGCAATAGTGCAAACAAATAGGAGAGTTAAATGTGGACTCTTAAACATCAGATCTCTCTCTTCTAAAGGTGTACTAGTAAATGAACTAATATCAGATTATGATATTGATTTATTTGGTCTTACTGAAACCTGGCTGGGTGATGGAGAATATGTTAGCCTAAATGAATCCACCCCTCCCAGTCATATTAATACTCACATTCCTCGAGGCACAGGCCGAGGAGGTGGAGTTGCAGCTATCTTCGACTCTAGCCTATTAATCAGCTCTAAACCTAAACTAAACTATAACTCATTTGAAAGTCTTGTTCTTAGTCTTTCGCACCCAAGTTGGAAATCACTGCAACCAATTCTTTTTGTTATAGTGTACCGAACACCTGGCCCGTATTCTGAATTCTTATCTGAATTTGCAGAGTTTTTGTCAACTTTAGTCCTTAAAACGGACAAAGTTATTATTGTAGGGGATTTTAATATTCATGTGGATGTTGAGAATGACAGCTTCAGTACTGCGTTTATCTCTTTGTTAGATTCCATCGGCTTCTCTCAGAGTGTTTATGAACCGACTCACTGTTTTAACCACACCCTCGACCTTGTTTTGGTGTATGGTATTGAAATTGAACATTTAGTGGTGTTCCCACAGAATCCCTCTTTATCCGACCACTGTTTGATAACTTTTGAGTTTGTATTGCTGAACTACAAGATGTCTGTCTGATAGTGCTGTAGCTAAATTTAAGGATGCGATTCCATCAGCTCTAAATACATTATCTAGTCACAAAGTAACGGAGGACTCCTATGCTAATTTCAGTCCCTCCCAAATCGATCATCTTGTTGATAGTGCTGCAGGCTCGCTGCGAATGACACTCGACTCTGTAGCCCTGTAAAAAAGAAAATACTAAAACAAAGACGGTTAGCTCCATGGTATAATACTGAAACTCGCAAATTAAAGCAAATATCACGGAAACTTGAGAGGAATTGGCGTTCCACCAAACTGGAAAATTCTCGTTTAATTTGGCAAGATAGTCTTAAAACTTATAGGAAGGCCCTCCGTAATGCCAGAGCAGCGTACTACTCGTCATTAATAGAGGAAAATAGGAACAACCCCAGGTTTCTTTTCAGCACTGTAGCCAGGCTGACAGAGAGTCACAGCTCTATTGAGCCAAGTATTCCCATAGCTCTCAGTAGTTACGACTTCATGAGCTTCTTTAATGATAAAATTCTAGCTATTAGAAACAAAATTCACCAAGACCTGCCCTCAATTGGCACCGACTTATCTCTTAACTCAGGAACCTTAGAAACAGCTGTAGAACCAGATACATGTTTAGACTGTTTTGCTTCCTCAATCTTTACCAACTAACTTCAATAATTTCTTCATCTAAACCATCAACCTGCCTCTTAGACCCCATCCCGACTAGGCTGCTTAAAGATGTTTACCCTTAGTCAGCACCTCTATACTAGATATGATCAATCTATCTTATCAACAGGCTATGTACCACAGTACTTTAAAGTAGCTGTAATTAAACCTCTTCTGAAAAAGCCCAAACTTGATCCGGATGTTTTAGCCAACTATAGACCTATATCTAACCTTCCATTTCTCTCTAAGGTTCTGGAGAAAGCAGTTGCTAAACAGCTGTGTGACTTTCTACAGAGCAATAGTTTATTTGAGGATTTTCAGTCAGGATTTAGAGCTCATCATAGCACAGAGACAGCACTGGTGAAAATTACTAATGACCTCCTTATTGCATCAGACAAAGGACTTGTCTCTGTACTGGTTTTATTAGATCTTAGTGCTGCATTTGATACCATTGACCATCAGATCCTATTGCAGAGACTGGAACATTTCATTGGCATTAAAGGAACCGCTCTAAGCTGGTTTAAGTCCTATTTATCAGATCGATTTCAGTTTGTACATGTTAACGATGAGTCCTCCATGCACGCCAAAGTTACTCATGGAGTTCCTCAAGGATCTGTCCTTGGACCAATCCTCTTCACTTTATATATGCTTCCTTTAGGCAATATTATCAGGAAACATTCCATAAGCTTTCATTGTTATGCAGATGATACTCAGTTATATCTATCGATCAAGCCAGATGAAACTCATCAGTTAGCTAAACTTCAAATGTGCCTTCAGGATGTTAAAACCTGGATGAGCTGTAATTTTCTTATGTTAAACTCAGATAAAACTGAAGTTATTGCTCTGGGGCCTAAGCACCTCCGTGACGCATTATCTAAAGATATAGTTTCCCTGGATAGCATCGCCTTGGCCTCCAGCACCACTGTGAGGAATCTTGGAGTTATCTTTGATCAGGACATGTCGTTTAAGTCCACATTAAGCAAATTTCAAGGACCGCCTTTTTTCACCTACGTAATATTGCGAAAATCAGGAACATCCTGTCTAAAAATGATGCAGAAAAACTAGTCCATGCATTTGTTACTTCTAGGCTGGATTACTGCAATTCCTTATTATCAGGCTGCTCGAAAAAGTCCGTTAAGACTCTCAGCTGATCCAGAATGCTGCAGCACGTGTTCTGACAGGAACCAGGAAAAGAGATCACATTTCTCCTGTTTTAGCTTCTTTGCATTGGCTTCCAGTAAAATCCAGAATAGAATTTAAAATCATTCTTCTTACCTACAAAGCTCTTAATGGTCAGGCCATCTTATCTTAAAGAGCTCATAGTACCTTACTACCCCACCAGAGCACTGCGCTCCCAGAATGCAGGGTTACTTGTGGTTCCTAGAGTCTCCAAAAGTAGACTAGGAGCCAGAGCGTTCAGCTATCAAGCTCCTCTCCTGTGGAACCAGGTTCCAGTTTGGGTTCAGGAGGCAGACACCATCTCCACATTTAAGAGTAGGCTTAAGACTTTCCTCTTTGATAAAGCTTATAGTTAGGGCTGGCTCAGGTGAGTCCTGAACCATCCCTTAGTTATGCTGCTATAGGCCTAGACTGCCGGGGGATTTCCCATGATGCACTGAGCTCCTCTCTCCTCTACTTTCTCTCCCTCTGTATGCAACCTCATCCCATTATTGCATGTTACTAACACAACTTCTCCCCTTTCTGGTAGTCTTGTGCTTTCTCGTCCCTCTCCTCTCTCCTCCTATCACTTCCTGCAGGTTTTCTGGCTCTGGAGCTGTGGAGTCTGGATCTGTGGTTGCGGGTCACCTGCTGCCCCCGTGTTCCTGCTCGACACCCTCTGCTGCAACGACTATTGTTACTAGTCTTATTGTTATTATTGTTATTATAATCATTAACATTACGATGGTTACCATTAACACTATTATAAATATCTGTACCATTTTTCATTTAGTTTATAGCAACATCACCTTCGCTGTCTGTACCTCTGTGTGTATATTGTGTAGGCTGCCTCCCTCCTCTCTCTCTCTCCTTACATCCCTCTCTCTCTCTCTCTCTCTCTCTCTCTCTCTCTCTCTCTCTCTCTCTTCTCTCTCTCTCTCTCTTTCACTCTCTCTCTCTCTCTCTCTCTCTCTCTCTCTCTCTCCTTCACCCCAACCGGTGGAGGCAGATGGTCGCCCACCCTGAGCCATGGTTCTGCTCGAGGTTTCTGCCTCTTAAAGGAAGTTTTTCCTTGCCTCTGTCTCCTAGTGCTGCTCTTGGTGGGAACTGTTGGGCTTCTGTAAATAGCATCACAGAGTACGGTCTAGACCTGCTCTTTTATGAAAAGCGCTGTGAGATAACTGTTGTTGTGATTTGGCACTATATAAATAAAATTGAATTGAATTGAATTGAAGTTACAGTGTCTCTGTATGTGTTACAGTGTCTCTGTATGTGTTACAGTGTCTCTGTATGTGTTACAGTGTCTCTGTCTGTGTTATGTGTTACAGTGTCTCTGTCTGTGTTATGTGTTACAGTGTCTCTGTGTGTGTTACAGTGTCTCTGTGTGTGTTACAGTGTCTCTGTATGTGTTACACTGTCTCCGTGTGTGTTACAGTGTCTCTGTGCATGTTACAGTGTGTCTCTGTGCGTGTTACTGTGTCTCTGTGTGTGTTACAATGTCTCTGTGTGTCTCTCTGTGTCTTTTACATATCTGTGTGTCTCTGTGCATGTTACAGTGTCTCTGTGTGTCTCTCTGTGTCTTGTGTATATCTGTGTGTCTCTGTGTGTGTTACAATGGCTCTGTGTGTCTGTGTGTGTGTTATAGTGTCTCTGTATGTGTTACAGTGTCTCTGTATGCGTTAAGGTGTCTCTGTGTGTCTCTGTGCGTATTACAGTGTCTCTGTGTGTGTTACTGTGTCTCTGTGTGTGTTACTGTGTCTCTGTGCGTGTTACTGTGTCTCTGTGCATGTTACAGTGTCTCTGTGTGTGTTACTGTGTCTCTGTGTGTGTTACTGTGTCTCTGTGCGTGTTACTGTGTCTCTGTGCATGTTACAGTGTCTCTGTGTGTGTTACTGTGTCTCTGTGTGTGTTACAATGTCTCTGTGTGTCTCTCTGTGTCTTTTACATATCTGTGTGTCTCTGTGCATGTTACAGTGTCTCTGTGTGTCTCTCTGTGTCTTGTGTATATCTGTGTGTCTCTGTGTGTGTTACAATGGCTCTGTGTGTTAAGATGTCTCTGTGTGTCTGTGTGTGTGTTATAGTGTCTCTGTATGTGTTACAGTGTCTCTGTATGCGTTAAGGTGTCTCTGTGTGTCTCTGTGCGTATTACAGTGTCTCTGTGTGTGTTACTGTGTCTCTGTGTGTGTTACTGTGTCTCTGTGCGTGTTACTGTGTCTCTGTGCATGTTACAGTGTCTCTGTGCATGTTACAGTGTCTCTGTGCATGTTACAGTGTCTCTGTGTGTGTTACTGTGTCTCTGTGTGTGTTACTGTGTCTCTGTGTGTGTTACTGTGTCTCTGTGTGTCTCGCTGTCTCTGTCTGTCTCTGTGTTTGTCTCTGTGTGTGTTACTGTGTCTCTGTGTGTCTCTCTGTCTCTGTGTCTGTCTCTGTGTCTGTCTCTGTGTCTGTCTCTCTGTGTGTTACTGTGTCTCTCTGTGTCTTGTGTGTCTCTGTGTGTCTCTGTGCGTGTTACAGTGTCTCTGTGCGTGTTACAATGTCTCTGTGTGTCTCTCTGTGTCTTTTATATATCTGTGTGTCTCTGTGCATGTTACAGTGTCTCTGTGTGTCTCTCTGTGTCTTGTGTATATCTGTGTGTCTCTGTGTGTGTTACAATGGCTCGTTGTGTGTTACAGTGTCTCTGTGTGTCTTTTGTGTCTCTATGTGTCTCTGTGTCTGTCTCTGTGTGTGTTACAATGGCTCTGTGTGTGTTACAGTGTCTCTGTGCGTGTTACAGTGTCTCTGTGTGTCTCTGTGTGTGTTACAGTCTCTCTGTGTCTCTCTGTGTGTGTTACAGTGTCTCTCTTTGTCTCTGTGTGTCTCTGTGTGTCTCTGTGTCTCTCTGTGTCTCTCTGTGTGCGTTGCAGTGTCTCTGTGTGTGTTACAGTGTCTCTGTGTCTTTCTGTGTGTCTCTCTGTGTCTCTGTGTGTCTCTCTGTGTCTCTGTGTGTCTCTGTGTCTCTGTGTGTTGCAGGTGCAGATCTTACAAATATTCAGCGCTCTGTTGGTGATTCTCAGTTTGAGGCCGGTGGGATCGACGGCATTGATGGAGGAACACAGGAAGGCCAAGAAGAAGAGGGACACCACACAGGAAGTCATCCTGACACAAAAACCTGCAGAAGAAGAAGAAGTCCTGACATGTTCAACAGGTTCATTAAGGAACTCCGGGGTTCTAATAATCTACAGAAAGGTTCAGCATCAGATCTGCAGAAAACAGCTGCAGCGTGCGACGACCCAACTGTACATCTGTGGCAGATATATGATGTGCCGACCTAGAATAAATCCCCGGGAGCGATGCCTAACAGGAAGCCGGCCATTTTCAATTTAATGGTCCTAACTTTAACGAGCTCCTCGGATTTTGGCTGTGCAATCTAAAGGCGTTGTTGATAAAAAGTCTCGCTATCTGTGAGTTCTGGTCGAAGCGTGTGTCCGTAGCGTCGCCTCGTGACGATTAGCCATGAAACAGGAAGTTGTTATAGCCTACTGGCAACAGGAAGTCAGCCCTTTTGTTTGATTTGAAGGGGATTTTCTACACTACAGATGATTAGCCAGTGTTGTCCAGTGCCACCTAGGGGAAACAGGAAGTGACGTCTAACTCCTTTCTGACCGGTCCAAACATGCGATAATTCAGAGCCTCCCAGCGTCGGGCGGGCCCTTCCCCGGCGAGGGCCGGGGAAGGGCCCGCCCGACGCTGCTCGCAGCTTTTCAGTTTCTTCCAACTGTTGATGCACTTAAAGTGAATGCTTAGCCCAAAATAACTTTAACTTTCATTAACAAAGGTATAAAACACACACTGGAACTTAAATGTTTTAATGTTGTTTATGTGTCTGAGCCTGTATTTTTAACCGATGTCATGTACTGTCTGTCAAATCATTGCTAATGGGGCAAATCTAATCGCCCCTCGGGGGGAAATAAAGGTCTCAAATTGACTTGCTCAGCACCACAAACAGACCTCAGGTAAGCTCACCTCTTTTCTGAGAACTTTGCAAATATGCAGGCAGGAAGAGCGAGAGGACGAGGAAGAGCTGCAGGAGGAAGATGGTGACGAGGACGAGGACAAGAGCAAAGAAGGGGAGCAGGCAACCGACATGTTTCCCAGGAAATCAGAGCCACTGTGGTGGAACATGTCAATCAGGCCTGCTGGGCAGGGTCCAGCCCAACCGTGGCATCCATACATTCGGTCTGGAGAACAGGCATGTGTTCAACTGTCCACCCTCGACTGTCCGTATGGGTTTGTTGCACCTCATTCTGAACTGCGTGATGTAGTCCATTACAGCAGGTCGGGTACAGTGCTGTGAAGTACATGTCATTTGGATGCTACTGCGTACAAAGTGACAGTACATGTGACGTCCAGACGACCTCCTGTTCACCCATCAACAGCAACTGTCAATATGGTGTTGGCAAACGCCATCCGCCTACATCAGCTACGAGAGCCAACCATTGTGGTCACACAACATTTTACAATATCTACTGAGTCGCTACATCAACACTGTCCCGCACCGAGAGGCGGCCGTACAGGCTTCCATTCCAGAGGCCCAGCGTTCGGGTCAAAGACCAGTGTTGCTGTCCTGAACTGAAAAACGCTGGCCTGCATAGATCCATGCAGACAGGTGACCTGTTTTGACTGAATTTGTCTGTGTGAAAAACACTGCAGTCCTGTGTTTTGGGTTGCACCATATGTATGTGTTTTCTGGCCTGCGGTGCAGATGCGTAGCCTCGTGGCTTCACAGGTGAAGTGTGGTTTAAACTAAAACAAGGCGCCGTGGCCCAAATGTCACAGGACAAAGAGCCTCTGCAAGGGTTTCTCCATCCCTACTGCACAAATGATCAGCCTTCTGGATGCACTGCATGATGGGCCGGAGCAGCGCCGGTTTGTTCTCATCTGGCATGATGTTAGTTTACACCAGGCTGCTTCATAGTTGTATATTTGTTCCTGTACTCCCCATTTCTCGATCCAATTGAGGAATTATTTTTGGCTCGGCGCTGAAAAGTATATGACCACCAGCCACATGCGTCTTCTGCAATGTAAGAGGTGTGCAGAGACACTGAGGTGGGTCGGTCCAGGGCTGGATATGCACACGCATGTGAGGCCACGTTTCTCTGTTGCTTAGCGATGCAGGTGATGTGGCCAGACCCTAACATAAACCATCCCTGACTGGAAAACAGGGCCGACTACCTTTCCATCCCGCTAGTTTACAGTAACAGAAACTTTTCTTTGTGTTTTTGTTAGAAAAACCTGCAAAAAACCTGAAAAATTGAGAAATATTTTGTAACGGCTTTCTGTTTTTGTGTTTACTGAAATGTGAGTAGATGTTGTTTTATTGGAACGGTCTTTTCACAGAAGCCCGGATGAGAAAAAAGGCATACAGCAGTGTTTTGTAGAAAGCACAGTGTCTGCCTGTGTTTTTGTTGTTGTTGTTGTTGTTGTTGTTGTGCGTGAGCAGCTGGAAGAAACTGATGGACGGGAGCGTCAGCGCGGGAATCCAGCCAGTGACTCTATTTCTCTTTCACTTCAGCGCGTTTGTTTAGATCGAGCATGGACGCATCAACTGGAGTTCAGCTGCTCGTCCCTGACTGCTGCCTGACGCAAAGAAAAATCAGTAATCGCTTCGTTACTTCACTCATTTAACTCATTTAATGAGACGCGACTCTGCTGCAGTTCCTGAGCCACTGGAAGGTGAGAGACTGCAGCTCCCCTCAGCAGGAGGGGCCAACATTTAACAGGAGCATTTTAGCAAGCAGAACCCCAAGTGCCTTTAATATCCATTCATTTAATGTTGGTCACTCGTCAGATTAACAGTCAGAAGCAGAAGAAGACTTACCTGTGTCTGTGAGGCTGATGTCTGCAGAGTCTCCAGCAGCTTCTACAAACCACCACTTCTTATACTCACACATTTCCTCATGCAAACCATGAAGCGGCACATTTCTGAGACTCAGCAGTGACTAAATATGGACACGGTGTCTGTGGGTTGGCTGCTGAATACATTCAAATTACAACAGGTTTATCTCTGCTGATCAAGACAGTCAGATAGTTACAGAGTTAGGAAACAGTCAGAGTTCCTCTTTCAGTGTAACAGGTTTCATCAGGGGCCTTTTCACGTCACGTTTACCAACACAAGCTTACTTCAGCTTCTACAGAAGATCTCACAGTTTCCACAGTTTGGGTTCTTTTAAGCCAACTTGCTCCTGAAAGTATTTTTATTTTCTTCAGGCTTCACTGTGGAGATCCTGTCAGTCCTGTTGCATGTTTCACTTTTGTCTGAAGGTCAATGTGAAAGTGGAGGAAATAGGTCCTGGAGAGCGCACCGATTGTGTCGGGTGCACAAAAGTGGGTTTTTAGAAAACAATAATGAGTCGTAATGTGTTGAGCTTCCAAAGATTTGCTGGGCGGGTCGATGTTCAAACACACGTTTGTCTTTCGTATTTACGGTGAATAGAGCGGACAGGTCCTGCATCAGGAGGGGAGCATCTATGCAGTCCCCCCGAGTCAGATAAGTTGTAAACCCTTCTTAATGTTGTCTCGGTAACAGTTCCTAGTTAACATATCACTTATCTTAATTAGGATTTAGGAACCTGACACCCGCTCATCATAACAGGCAACGCTGGCTGTCTGGTGACGTCCTCTCAAAGTCAGCAGCGTGGGAAAGTGTTTATCTCCCTGTGATCGTCTGTCATGCAGTTACTCAGCGTCAGGGCCGCAGACGGCGTGAGGAAGTTACACGTTCAACAGGACTGAAAGATGATGTGTTTGGGTTCAAAGAAATCTTGAGATGAACTTTAAGGTGGAATTCAAACCTTCCAACCCTGCAGCTGGAACCAGGTTTAGGGTACATTACATTTACTCATAACGCTTTTACCCAAAGTGACTGACATTTGAGGAAACACATCGAGCATCAACACAGTAAGAGATGTACCAGTGAGAGCTGTCAGCCATCATGGCCACCCTGAGCCATGGTTCTGCTCGAGGTCTCTGTCCTTGCCTCTGTCGCCTAGTGCTGCTCTTGGTGGGGACTGTTGGGTTTCTGTAAATACACACTAAAAACTCCTGGGTTAAAAAGCAACCAACTAATATCTGGGTTATTTCAACCCGGATGTTGGGGTTGATATTTTGACCCAGACGTTGGGTTATATTAACTACAATGTTGTTGTTTTTTAACCCAACACAATTAACCCAAAAAATGGCTTGAAGAAATAACCCAGTTTTTAGTGTGTATCGTCGCAGAGTACGGTCTGGACCTGCTCTTTATGAAAAGAGACAGCAGATAACTGTCGTCGTGATCTGGCGCTATATAAATAAAAGTGAGGCAGCATCACACGGATTTAATAGCTCTGATTTACAGACTGGCCCTGAACGCACCGTGGCAGGTAAAGTCCAGACCAGCAAACTATATAAAAAATACTTTAATATCAGCAACAAACACAAACACTCACCACAGTGAGGACAAACCACGTTACACACACACAGATGCTGCTTTCAAATGCTGTCAGAAATATAACAATCATATAAAACACTTCCAAAACCAGCAGAAACAGGACGCACAACACAAAACAACTGTTTTATAGAAGAGCTGTAAAATATTTTTGGTACAGGAACCTTCAGCACCTGAAAGCAAAACACAGGTTTTTAGTTAAAGCGAAGAGTTTACGAGGAGCCCTTGAAGGCAGCATGATCAGGAATCCGGACACACTGACACCCAACCGGTTCCCCTCCCAGGGCGTCACATATGGACGCTTGGGGTCGCTGTTTACCGCCCTGAGCGCCAACGTTATCGTCGGTAATGAAATAATTAAAACTAGGACTGAAAGAACATTTTCGTTACCTGAAATAAAAATAAAACAAAGTTATGAAGCAACAGTCTTTAGTTTTCGTGGCAGATAAGAGCAGGTTCACGAAGGCTAAACTAGCTTAGCTTAACCAGGTTAGGCTGAACGCCGAGCCCCCGACCCCGGAACAGAAGCTGCCCCGGTCCAGGACTGACAGACATTTTTGAAAGTTGTCTTTGTGGTCGCTTGTTCTTCCGTCCTCAGTAGGTTCGTGTCACGACATTAAACTATGACGATATTTCTCGTCAGGTGAAAAGCCGTCCCGCCAGACTCACACAACTGACATTTTTCACATTAAGTTTCAATACAAATGTAATTAAGACTCACAGAGCGAATCAACTCCGCCGAGCTGATGCAACGCCGGCGTTTAACCGCGCCGCTCGAGCTGCGAGTCCAGCCAGCTGAAGCCAGCCTGCTCTGTGTGGACTGTGAGCTGCTGAAGTTAACCTGTGTGGATCTGTGGAGAGATTTCTGCCTGTGTCGGTTTCACGTGCAGCGTGCAGTCCCAACCTGCGGCGGTCCGACGGTCCGACGGGGGTAACGTCACCACCAGAGGATCGATACGGTAACGCAGCGCGGAGTAAAGGGCGGGTGGACTTCATCATATGGTAATATGAAGAACACAGATCTGTGGGAGGGACTCTGAACATGAAACACAGGAGCTGTTAAAGTCCAGGAGTTTCTCACTGAATTAACATGAACCACATTTCAAACAGAAACACAAAGAGGAGGGAAGGCGAAACCAGGACCAAAACCAAGTGAGTAACTAAACCAAACTAAACTGAACTATAATTAGCTTGGCTGCAGTTAGCAAGAACAACTGTGCAACATCCGGTTAGCCTTTCAAAATAAAACCAGTGGATGAAGTTGTGAAAGGTCGCAGTTTGGTCCGGTTAGGGTTAGGATTCAGGAAAACATCACTAAAATGTAGACTTAATGTATCACACGGGAAATGAACACCGGTCTCCTGGGTGAAAGTCCGGTTTCTGCCCCCCCTTACTCGGATTTATATGTAGCTGTACTTTCTGTGTTGAACTGTGACGCTGAAGGACGTTACTGGGCGAAGCTATCTGGCGCTCTGGGAGTGAGAACCCGTCAACACTGATTCTGCTGCCACATCTGCATTTGGCAGAGTCCTGGCGTCACATTTCTTTATCTCCAGTGTCACCCAGAGGCCAGGAGGATGCTGGGAAATGCTGTTCACACATACAGATATAAAAACACATTAACAACTACATAAACACATTAATCAGCTTCTGACGTTTACAAGGTCTTTAAATCACACACACAGTCCAGCAGGTACAAATGGCAGTGTCTCGGCCCGGTTTGGTCCAGTTCAGGATGTCTCGGCCCGGTTTGGTCCAGTTCAGGATGTCTCGGCCCGGTTTGGTCCAGTTCAGGATGTCTCAGTCCAGTTTGGTCCCTTACAGGAAGTCTCGGTCCGGTTTTGTACGGTTCAGGATGTCTCAGTCCGGTTTAGTCCAGTTCAGGATGTCACAGTCCGGTTTAGTCCGGTTCAGGATGTCTCAGTCCGGTTTGGTCCAGTTCAGGATGTCACAGTCCGGTTTAGTCCAGTTCAGGATGTCTCAGTCTGGTTTGGTCCAGTTCAGAATGTCTCAGTCCAATTTGGTCCGTTACAGGAAGTCTCGGTCCGGTTTTGTTCGGTTCAGAATGTCTCAGTCCGGTTTGGTCCAGTTCAGGGAGTCTCGGCCCGGTTTGGTCCAGTTCAGGATGTCTCAGTCTGGTTTGGTCCAGTTCAGGATGTCTCAGTCCAGTTTGGTCCCTTACAGGAAGTCTCGGCCCGGTTTTGTTCGGTTCAGGATGTCTCAGTCCGGTTTAGTCCATTACAGGAAGTCTCGGTCCGGTTTTGTTCGATTCAGAATGTCTCAGTCCGGTTTGGTCCAGTTCAGGATGTCTTGGCCCGGTTTGGTCCAGTTCAGGAAGTCTCGGCCCGGTTTGGTCCAGTTCAGGATGTCTCAGTCCAGTTTGGTCCCTTACAGGAAGTCTCGGCCCGGTTTTGTTCGGTTCAGGATGTCTCAGTCCGGTTTAGTCCAGTTCACGATGTCACAGTCCGGTTTGGTCCGTTACAGGAAGTCTCGGTCCGGTTTGGTCCAGTTCAGGAAGTCTCGGTCCGGTTTGGTCCAGTTCAGGATGTCTCGGCCCGGTTTAGTCCAGTTCAGGATGTCTCGGCCCGGTTTAGTCCAGTTCAGGATGTCTCAGTCCGGTTTGGTCCAGTTCAGGATGTCTCGGCCCGGTTTGGTCCAGTTCAGGATGTCTCAGTCCGGTTTGGTCCAGTTCAGGATGTCTCGGCCCGGTTTGGTCCAGTTCAGGATGTCTCAGTCCAGTTTGGTCCCTTACAGGAAGTCTCGGCCCGGTTTTGTTCGGTTCAGGATGTCTCAGTCCGGTTTAGTCCAGTTCAGGATGTCTCAGTCCAGTTTGGTCCCTTACAGGAAGTCTCGGTCCGGTTTTGTACGGTTCAGGATGTCTCAGTCCGGTTTAGTCCAGTTCAGGATGTCACAGTCCGGTTTAGTCCGGTTCAGGATGTCTCAGTCCGGTTTGGTCCAGTTCAGGAAGTCTCGGCCCGGTTTGGTCCAGTTCAGGATGTCTCAGTCCAGTTTGGTCCCTTACAGGAAGTCTCGGCCCGGTTTTGTTCGGTTCAGGATGTCTCAGTCCGGTTTAGTCCAGTTCACGATGTCACAGTCCGGTTTGGTCCGTTACAGGAAGTCTCGGTCCGGTTTGGTCCAGTTCAGGAAGTCTCGGCCCGGTTTGGTCCAGTTCAGGATGTCTCAGTCCAGTTTGGTCCCTTACAGGAAGTCTCGGCCCGGTTTTGTTCGGTTCAGGATGTCTCAGTCCGGTTTAGTCCAGTTCACGATGTCACAGTCCGGTTTGGTCCGTTACAGGAAGTCTCGGTCCGGTTTGGTCCAGTTCAGGAAGTCTCGGCCCGGTTTTGTTCGGTTCAAGAAGTCTCAGTCCGGTTTAGTCCAGTTCAGGATGTCACAGTCCGGTTTGGTCCGTTACAGGAATTGTCGGTCCGGTCTGGTACAGTTCAGGATGCGTTTCCATGGAGGCCGTCAGTCTCTCAGTGTGTCTCAGTCCAGGAGGTGACCCAATGTCTAGGTGACTTCCTGTTTCTGGACGAGGAGACGCCGTCCTGGATCAGGAAACCATCGGTGTCTGTATGCTGCTGCTGCTGCTGCTCGTCTTTACCCACAATCCTCCCCTGGTGGAGCGCCGCGGCCCGCCACGCCCTCTGACGAACAAAGAACCCACACTGCAGACAAAACACAGAAACCTCGTATGTCCACACAGCAGCAGGAAATAGAGTCGACAGGTAAACAGGAAGTTAATCTTACGCCTGCTCGACATTAGCATGTCAGCATTAGTTACCAGTATATTAGTTACTAGTATAGAAAGCAAATCAAGAGTACCTTAATATATTTATAATTAAACTAATACTGATAGAAAGGCAGCCAGATATCAGCAGAGAACAACACATTAATACGGATCAGAAGAGTTAGTGATCAACTGGCTAATCAGATGCACAAGAGTCAGAACAGCTGGAAGGAAAGAAGGAAGTTAAGTAGATCGTTAAGGAGACACCATCAGTGATTGGCTGAGAGCTGAAAAGGAAAACAGTCAGTAACTGTCAGTAACTGTCAGTAACTGTCAGTAACTCTCAGTAACTGTCAGTAACTGTCTGTGCTGTCTTTAAAGTTAAGTTAATAGTTGAATACTGAGCTTAATGGTTACATTACAGGGATTCATGCTGGTTGCTGCCCTCTACTGGTCAGAGTTAATAATTTAGTGAAGGACACTCTTCAGTTGAACACAGACAGGCAAGATAATAATAATAATAATAATAATCCTTATTTGTAGAGCACTTTTCAAAAACAAGTTACAAAGTGCTTTAACAAGTGTAAAGAATAATACAAAAAAACAAGATAAGAGCATGAAAACATTGAAAAGACAAAAATACAGATTAATATAAAATTAGTAAAATACAATAAAATAAAAGGGATAAAATAAAGTCAAATAAGATCGGGAAAAGCTCTCCTATAAAAGTATGTTTTAAGAAGGGACTTAAAAGAGTTCACTGACTCAGCCGACCTGATTTCCTCGGGCAGGCTGTCCCAGAGCCTCGGGGCCCTGACAGCAAACGCTCTGTCCCCTTTAGTTTTCAGTCGAGACTCTGGAACAGACAACAGACCTCTGCCCGAGGATCTCAAGGTACGTGCTGGTGCGTATGGGACTAAAAGGTCAGAAATATAACAAGGCGAGAGGCCATGATCAATAGAATTTTAAAGTCAATTCTAAAACATACTGGTAGCCAGTGTAATGAAGCTAAAATAGGAGTAATGTGGTCATATTTCTTTGTTCTGGTTAAAAGCCTGGCAGCTGAGTTCTGGACAGTCTGGAGTCGATCAATAGATTTTTGGGTTAAACAGGTGAAAAGGCTGTTGCAATAATCCAGGCGTGATGAGATGAAGGCGTGTAAAATGGTCTCGGTGTCCTTAAAAGTTAACATAGATCGAATTTTTGCTATATTTCTATTTAGATAAAAATTCAGGAAGTTCTGATAAAAATCCTCCAGGCGGTTTTGGGGGGCGATAAATTATAACAAATATGATAGGTTGCAGCCCTCCAACTTTAAGAGTGAGAACTTCAAAGGAGTTAAATTCATCACAGCATACTTGATGACATTTAAAATGTATCCTATACACGCTCACTAGCCCACCACCACGACCACTGACCCTCGGTTGACTAAAACAATCATATTGAGGCGGACACAGTTCAGCTAGCTGGCTATAGTCATTCATCTGCAGCCAGGATTCAGTTAAAAACATAAAATCTAGATTTGCAGACAAGATAAAATCATTTAAGATAAAAGTCTTACTTGACAGAGATCTCACATTGAAGAGAGCCATTTTAAATGAGTTTGTTCTGGGTGCTGGAGTTGGTGCAGTTGTCCTAATCTTTAAGAGATTACTAATATTTCTGTGTGGGATGTGCACATTTCGGTTTACTGGTCTATGCGTGATGATGACAGGAATAGAAGTCTGTGGAACAGCGCTGGGAGCAGACGGCTTTACATGCCAGCAGGTGGAGACAGTTGTTTGTGGCAGTGAGCCAGAGATCTGTTCAGTGAGCGGTGGTGCGTCCAGGTGTGCTGCATGAATGATAGACAGTGCTGGATTTATGTTGCTGAAAGTATTTCTGATCCGCTTCTGCCTTGGAGACTATGTGCCTGTAAGTAATATGTAAATCATTTTCAATCACTTGCATTTGCAAGGAATGTCATGTTAGACACGTTTTTATGCTTTGGTAAAAACATGTGCTCTGTTAGCTAGCAGCACAGCAGTAGCTAACCTGTTCTTTAATTGTTTTGTGACTTGTAGATGTTGTGGTAGGTGAACTGTGTTCTCATACAGGAGGCAAAATCGCTTGTTGTATACAGTAGGCTACAGTGCGTGTTTTACACTTTGATAGGGATTGTGTAGTAACACAGTTATAACATATCAGATGTAGTCTCTGTATGCATATGTTCATGTTTGGATACAGATATATATTCTTATTCTGTTATGTATTTCAGTTTTACAAAACAAACCAAAAGCGGAAACAACTTCAGTAAAATACAAGAAAAGTCAAGCCTTGTGTGTTTATTGGAGGACTTTTAAATGTTAACTGGCTGTCTAGCTTTGCTCAAGAGACCACATTGCAAGAGCAGCACACTGTCAGTAACTGTCAGTAACTGTCAGTAACTGTCAGTAACACTCAGTAACTGTCAGTAACTGTCAATAACACTCAGTAACACTCAGTAACTGTCAGTAACACTCAGTAACACTCAGTAACTGTCAGTAACACTCAGTAACTGTCAGTAACACTCAGTAACTGTCAGTAACACTCAGTAACACTCAGTAACACTCAGTAACACTCAGTAACTGTCAATAACTGTCAGTAACACTCAGTAACTGTCAGTAACTGTCAGTAACACTCAGTAACACTCAGTAACTGTCAGTAACACTCAGTAACTGTCAGTAACACTCAGTAACACTCAGTAACACTCAGTAACACTCAGTAACTGTCAATAACTGTCAGTAACACTCAGTAACTGTCAGTAACTGTCAGTAACACTCAGTAACTGTCAGTAACACTCAGTAACTGTCAATAACTGTCAGTAACACTCAGTAACACTCAGTAACACTCAGTAACACTCAGTAACACTCAGTAACTGTCAATAACTGTCAGTAACACTCAGTAACTGTCAGTAACTGTCAGTAACACTCAGTAACTGTCAGTAACTGTCAGTAACTGTCAGTAACTGTCAGTAACTGTCAGTAACACTCAGTAACTGTCAATAACACTCAGTAACTGTCAGTAACACTCAGTAACTGTCAATAACACTCAGTAACTGTCAGTAACACTCAGTAACTGTCAGTAACTGTCAGTAACACTCAGTAACTGTCAATAACACTCAGTAACTGTCAGTAACACTCAGTAACTGTCAGTAACTGTCAGTAACACTCAGTAACTGTCAGTAACTGTCAGTAACTGTCAGTAACACTCAGTAACTGTCAATAACACTCAGTAACTGTCAGTAACACTCAGTAACTGTCAGTAACTGTCAGTAACACTCAGTAACTGTCAGTAACTGTCAGTAACTGTCAGTAACTGTCAGTAACTGTCAGTAACACTCAGTAACTGTCAGTAACTGTCAGTAACACTCAGTAACTGTCAATAACACTCAGTAACTGTCAATAACACTCAGTAACTGTCAGTAACACTCAGTAACTGTCAGTAACTGTCAGTAACACTCAGTAACTGTCAGTAACTGTCAGTAACTGTCAGTAACACTCAGTAACTGTCAGTAACACTCAGTAACTGTCAGTAACACTCAGTAACTGTCAATAACACTCAGTAACTGTCAGTAACAATCAGTAACTGTCAGTAACTGTCAGTAACTGTCAGTAACACTCAGTAACTGTCAGTAACACTCAGTAACTGTCAGTAACACTCAGTAACTGTCAATAACACTCAGTAACTGTCAGTAACTGTCAGTAACACTCAGTAACTGTCAGTAACTGTCAGTAACTGTCAGTAACACTCAGTAACTGTCAGTAACACTCAGTAACTGTCAATAACACTCAGTAACTGTCAGTAACACTCAGTAACTGTCAGTAACTGTCAGTAACTGTCAGTAACACTCAGTAACTGTCAGTAACACTCAGTAACTGTCAGTAACACTCAGTAACTGTCAGTAACACTCAGTAACTGTCAATAACACTCAGTAACTGTCAGTAACACTCAGTAACTGTCAGTAACTGTCAGTAACACTCAGTAACTGTCAGTAACTGTCAGTAACTGTCAGTAACACTCAGTAACTGTCAGTAACTGTCAGTAACTGCCAGTAACACTCAGTGACTGTCAGTGACTGTCAGTAACACTCAGTAACTGTCAATAACACTCAGTAACTGTCAGTAACACTCAGTAACTGTCAATAACACTCAGTAACTGTCAGTAACACTCAGTAACTGTCAGTAACTGTCAGTAACACTCAGTAACTGTCAATAACACTCAGTAACTGTCAATAACACTCAGTAACTGTCAGTAACTGTCAGTAACACTCAGTAACTGTCAATAACACTCAGTAACTGTCAGTAACACTCAGTAACTGTCAGTAACACTCAGTAACTGTCAGTAACACTCAGTAACTGTCAGTAACTGTCAGTAACTGTCAGTAACACTCAGTAACTGTCAATAACACTCAGTAACTGTCAGTAACACTCAGTAACTGTCAGTAACACTCAGTAACTGTCAGTAACTGTCAGTAACACTCAGTAACTGTCAGTAACTGTCAGTAACTGTCAGTAACACTCAGTAACTGTCAGTAACACTCAGTAACTGTCAGTAACACTCAGTAACTGTCAGTAACTGTCAGTAACACTCAGTAACTGTCAGTAACACTCAGTAACTGCCAATAACACTCAGTAACTGTCAGTAACACTCAGTAACTGTCAGTAACTGTCAGTAACTGTCAGTAACACTCAGTAACTGTCAGTAACACTCAGTAACTGTCAATAACACTCAGTAACTGTCAGTAACACTCAGTAACTGTCAGTAACTGTCAGTAACTGTCAGTAACACTCAGTAACTGTCAGTAACACTCAGTAACTGTCAATAACTGTCAGTAACACTCAGTAACTGTCAGTAACACTCAGTAACTGTCAATAACACTCAGTAACTGTCAGTAACACTCAGTAACTGTCAGTAACA